CGGGGTTGGGGTCATGGTGGTTAACAAGTCTTCAAAATTTCAAAGCGATATCTTAAGGGACTTGGAACATAATTGATGTGGTATGAAAAATTGGACAGAACATTAAACTAACGCCGACGCCCGGATGAGGTGAAAGCTCTCCTTATTCTTCTAATAGTCGAGCTATAAATTACAGGATGTAAAATCAAGGACGATTATCACAATTGTGTTCTAAAAGCACAACATGACAATATCTTTTTAAAAATGTTAGTATTTATTATAATATTGATTTAAAAAAGAATTTTTTTTAACAATAAACAATTAAAGTAGAAGTTTATTCCATTTCTTGGAGCAGCGAACTAGTAGTTGGGGGCTGTATTTTCTTCTTTGCCTTTCTATTTTTAATGTTGTCTATGACTTCCTTTATACGTTGTTTCCTATGTATGACCTGTAAATACAAAATGATAAAATTTCGAAAGGTGCTTCATTTTGTGCTTCATTTTATCAACATTGCTTACCTGGTGTTTTAATAATATTATTTAATCACTGTTGCACAAGAGATAGTATTTTGTGATTTGGTGTACTTCATTCAATCATTTTCAATTAATTGAAGTTTCAGAATTACAATTTTCTAATACTAACCATTAACGACACAAAGAATACTGTCATGAGATAATCAGATTACACATGGTTTAGTTGTTTTAATAAAACATAGCAAATATATTCCGTTACTAATCTTTATTACAAATGGCATATTCTTATTAAAGGAAGGTAATTATGGGACAACATGATACATATCGGTAAATAAAACAAAATCAAGTCGATGACCTAAAAGAATTGAAGATGGGAAGGTAGCGGGCACTACAAACCAACATATTTTTTGATTTGGCCTAAGCACAATTAAAAACTGAATCACTTTAGTTTAGAAGGACTAACTTTATCAAAGTTAATTCTTCTTTCAAGTAAGCTTAAACTCAATGAATCTATGAAGCGAAAAGCACAGTATTACGGAATACCGTTAGGGCCATCATGGTTGTACGTTATATTCCAGAGGGCGACAATGTGATAGTGCGACAACACGATGGTGATAGTACGATGACGACAACGCGATGATACGAGGACGACAATGCTATAGACTATCACATTATTGTCATCGTACTATCGCATTGTCGCCATCGCATTATTGCACTGTCGCATTGTCGTACTGTCGTCATCGCATTGTCGCCATTGCATTGTCGCATTGTCATCATCGCACTATCGTCACTGTACTCTCGTACTAACGCCATCGCGTTGTCGCACTATCACATTGTCGCCCTCTGGATTATAACGTTCAACCACGATGGCCCTAGCGGTATCCTGTACAGTATTACTGATAGTAAAGTGGTTTTTTTTATATTTTGATTTCTGACAAGGTCTAGCTGATCAACCAGCTAGCTGAACCAAAGTGTTTTTGAGCCACTTATGGCCTCCTGGGTCTAGTTCTGGCTTTCAAATATAATATGCCGTTTTTTCATCTGAGGAGGCATTTTTTTCCCGTAATGTACAGTAAACTATAAATATGGGAACGTCGAATATGTTTGACCAACCCGAATCCAGTGATAAATCTAATTCTCATATACATGGAGAGGACCAGATGAATAACCTTGATGAATAAAATTGGTGTGTAATTGTATTTTATGCATAATCAGTCATTTAAAGAAGTGTGTTTCTTTGTTTTTTAGTTTTGTGAATGGTATTAATACACTAAACGAAATCGATCATTCCGACAACCTTTTTTATATTATGTATATATAGTGGTCAGAATAATTACGTATATATATACTTGTATAGAATAATTACAACGATTCTTGTATGAACACTTATCATAGTATCATCATTTATATCAGTAAATGCATTTTGTAATACAAGAAGCCAATAACTAATTTGGCATATATTTTGAAAACTCGAGCTTATCTGCAAGTTTAAATCTTAGTACTTATAAGTTTCATTAAGTATAAATTGTTTGATTGATGGAAGTTAGACTCGGTTCCCCCGTGAGGCTTGAAAGGAGTCACTTTTCTCACATTGAGAGAGAGTGTTAATTTCTTATGGTAAACGCATCTAGATCTCAGTGAACAAAAATACACAGACCGTCCAAATTGTTTTGCTCGATTAGTGATGGATATGTATAACATCGCTAAATTACTTTATTTAAGAAGAATATTCAAGCAAACTATAAAAACTTACATCATCTGACAAATCGCTGTCCGCCATGTTGCATCTCCTGGCTTAAAATGAGCGGCAATGCATCATCACAAATTACAAGTCACAACTTAGAAGTCACAAGTCATAACTCCCAAGTCAATAGTCAAAAGTCATTAAGTCAGAAGTCAAAAGGGCCCTCCAGTGCTTCCATACAAATGAGTTTCAATACTGTCACAACATGGAAATAAAACAGGTATCAGCATTCGTGGGTCTTTAAATTAACAAAAAATATTTACAAAACTCTGAAAGTTTTCTTTATTCTGTACGATTCTCATTTCCGTAGCATTTCAAAGGGCGCATACAATATGGTCGGTGTGACGCATTGGAAAATATTCAAAATACACCTTTTATGAGCATCCGGCCAATCCCCTGTTTATGAAGTCAAATGGGTTTTCCCTAATCATGATAACAGAAAGAAAGAAGAAAGAAAGAAAATTCTTTATTTCTTTACTTATTTATTTATCTTTTTATTTATAAGAAAGAAAGAAAGAACCAAACAAATAAACAAAGAAAGAAAATAACAAAGAAAGAAAGAAACTAGTAGTAAAAAAATACAAGAGTAAATCATTATTTATTTTATAATTAACAAGAGTAATTCATCCATTCATTCATTCTTTATTTATTTGTTCATCTATTCATTCCTTTTTCATTCATTTATTTATTTACTAGAAAGAAACAAACAAACAAACAAAGAAATTAGTAGAAAAAAAATACAAGTGTAAATCATTATTTATTTTATAATTAACAAGAATGACTCATTCATTCATTCATTCATTCATTCATTCATTCTCTATTCATCTATTCATTCTTTATTTCTTTATTTATTTACTTATTTATTTATTAGAAAGAAAGAAACAAACAAATATACAAAGAAAGAAAGAAAGAAATTAGTAGTAAAAAATGCAAGAGTAAATCATTATTTATTTTATAATTAACAAAGAGTCATTCATTCATTCATTCATTCATTCATTCATTCATTCATTCATTCATTCATTCATTCTTTCATTCTTTCTTTCTTTCCTTCTTTCTTTCTTTCATTCATTTATTCATTCATTCTTTATTTATTTATTTATTTATTTATTTATTTATTTATATGTTCATCTATTCATTCTTTATTCATTTATTTATTTATTTACTAGAAAGAAAGAAACAAACAAACAAACAAACAAAGAAACAAACAAAGATAGAAAAAAAGAAATTAGTAGTAAAAAAATACAAGAGTAAATTATTATTTATTTTATAATTTACAAGATTCATTCATTCATTCACTCGTTCGTTCGTTCGTTCGTTCGTTCGTTCATTCATTCATTCATTCATTCTTTATTTATTCATTTATTTCATTTTTATGACACTTGTTATATCAATTTTTAACATATTTAGACAAAAATAAGCAAACTGGTCGAGCATTTCAAATAATAATATTAAAAAAAAAAATTTAGTAAAAACAATATAAAATATTATTATATTATTATCATTATTATTATTATTATTATTATTATCATCATCATTATTATTATTATATACCAAACTTCTTAAGCACTTTTTTCATGCACATTGACATGTTCAAAAGTATTGTACAGTAAAACCAAATACTGATACAATATTTAAAAAAAATAATTAAAACATCAATATTGCTCAAGTCACAATTTCAAATCAAATGTAGTTTAAAAAGTTAAAAAAGACCCACATAAATAATAAAATACAGGTAAGACTTAAGAATACTTAAAAAAAGCGAACCTTAAAAATGATCAGTCCAAATAAAACCTCTTAAATAAGTGAGTTTTAAGTGCTCTCTTAAACACTGTTAGAGTTTCACAGCTTTTAAGTGTTCTAGGTAGGGCATTCCAGAGTTTAGGGGCCGCCGTCATAAAAGCACAATCACCATAAGTCACAGTCCTGCTACGCGGTACAACATGTGCAGAGCAATCATTCTGGGACCTCAGTTGTCTGGATGGGATATAAATGTCTAGCATGTTTCGTATGTAAGTAGGTGCCTGTCCATGAAGCGCCTTAAACACATATGTAAGGAGTTTGAACTCGACTCTGATGTGCACAGGAAGCCAATGAAGTTCCTTTAAAACTATTATGATAGAGATGCCAGGTTAAGGCTTAAAATAATTGTGTCGTTAAAATAACATGCTCTACAAGAATAAGTATGGTAGGTAGGATTCTTATATTCAATTATACCGTATTCTGAAACAAGTGAAACCAGAAAATATTTCCCCCAAGAATTGAAGAACCGGAACGTACGTCGTACAATATGTCCTCTTTCAGAATAGACCACGGGCCCTGGTCAGATCGTGACAAATGTCCACGGATGGCACAAAAACATCATAACTTAATAATTAATACACCCACCAGTACAACATCATTTGTAACTCTTCAAATGTGTAAAAAAAAATTGACAGACCTAAAATGTATGTTTTGGTAGGGTAGGGTGATCCTTACTTTATGCCTTAGAAAGAATTTGGAAATCAATTTTAGAACATACAATAATAAATAAAGCCCACAGAATTGATAATATTTAAATTACATAAAATGCGTTGATCGTGAACTTACTTGTATATTGATTTATTTATTGCAGTAATCATGAAAAAAAAAAACGTTCAGAAGAAAATTGATTCATTTAAACACCACAGTCACTACCAACAAAACATCAAGAGTATGGACAAACAACAACATAAATAAGTATAATAAAACAAAAAATAAAAATAATAAAATGAAAAAAATATATATATCAAGAGCAAAATGTGAATTGGAATAAAATGCAATATTACCGATGGAAAATTTCCTCTATATTTTCACTATCCATACTCCTTATAAATCAAACTTAAATATATGCATGCTTCGCGAGGTATTGCGTTAAAATGGTAAAAACATTCTTCGAGAGTTTGGTTCCACAAAGGTGCAGCAGAGGGGAATTGAGTGCAGTGATTGGTTGGCAGATTTTAACCGCAGATTCAATGCATTTCATTGGTGGAGAGTACACAAACGAAACAAATAAGTATACGATAATTTCCAAGTATTATTATATATATTTGGAATTGGGGCTGACAGCTCACCTGTGGTAAGGTTTTGTAAACAGTAAATATAGATTAACACGTAACTCGCGTTGAGCAGATAACCGGAAACGAGATTGAGAACGCTTGTCAATATTTTCAGTTTAGATAATTTAAACATGTACATATTATAAAGTATTATCATGAACAGTAGACTATATGAAGACAGTGTTTGAAGGTTACATGCACCAATAATCTTTCTATTAATAACTCTTTGATCTAATTCTGTGACCAGACAGTGTTAATTACCTTTTTTTAACAGTGATAGGCAAAGAAAAGAAGATGTGAGGTGGGGCATTTGTGCATGCCAAGTAACAACTGCAGTCATTATAAGTTCAACACTACTTATAATTAAGTCCCGTATGTCGTAGTTTGACCTAAATCCAAGATATATTTTATCTTCCCGGTTGCAAAAAAATAGGCAAAACTCAAAATGAAAAATATTCTTTCACCCTAATCATTAAAAAGGCGGGAAAACAACCGCCCGCATTTGTAAGCGTCTGCTTACCTGTATTCTAGGGACTTTCCAGCAAGGGTATTCCCCTCGAACTTGTTGCGCCTTGCGGTCGACATTTTGTCCAAAGTGTAATCGTAACCAATCAATTCGTTCGTTTCATTTCTATTACAAATTATATTTTTAGATTACTGAGGTGCCTTAGGATATATTTAATATAATAAATTCATAATACAACGGACAGAAATAAGAATAGAAATTAAGAATATTTTGGGTTTTATAAGGCAACAGGTTAACCATGAAGTGGAACTTGAACTGTTTGAACCACTCTGGTGGGTCCGGCGGACATCCACATAGAAAAGTGCTGTCAACCAAGGGGGTATCAGCGTGAACATACTATGCATTCTATGAATGAAGCATTACTTACTTGTCCGGTAGCTGTGTTCACTTCTAATAATTGAGCGTTTTACAACTGTTCAGTCCACATATCTTTCCGAATATACATTTTATCGCAACTAGTCATTTTGATAATAATAAAATGCTTTGTTACCATTTCCATTAGATTTCTACATGTTTAGATTATTCTCTAACATAAGATTTCGAACTTTTGAGTTTTGTATAGGGTAAGGCATGATCGAACCATAGCATTGATAAATGATTAAATTTTGTGTACAGTTGAATGTGAATGAATTCATTGAACGTTTTGTTTCAACAGAAATACTTTAACATGGACACTTTATAAGTTAAATCATTGATCTGTCGTTTATGCATTCTAAGTGATCTTAAGTTAATTACGTTAAGATCTGCCTATAATAGACACGTGCATGCGACCCACCCTCTGCATCGCCTAAAGTTGAAAATATTTCAAAATGAAATTGCACGAATTGCTCACAATTGCTAAAACTTTGATTTTCTAATATTTCATAAAAAATAAATGGAATTAAATGTTAAATAAACATTTTAGATATATAGTTCTTTATAACATTTATCAGTCGAGCATTTCCCCAACAGTTCCACCCCTGATTAACAAAATTCCCTTTGAAGTGCCCCATGTTTATATAATCTAGTACATGCCAGTATATCACATGACTTACCTTGAACTTGAACTCAATTACGAACGGTTAAGGTACTTGTTTATCATGGCGGCCAGGGGATCTACACGACTCTTTCAATCTCTGCGTTCTGGACTCTCAAGTAAGGTTTTTTTAATCATGACAGCTCATTTTTATTAATTGATGATAAATTTGCCTCCCTGTTTGATATTTTATTTGATGAAAACATTTAATTGAATGAGGTAAACTGCCAATTTAAAACGAAAGTGTCGGAAACCAGTACAACTGCAAGTTCAAGGGCGTAGCAAGCAGTTTTGTATGGATAGAAAAAATCTGCTCATTTTACAAATTGATATGTTTACTCTATTCTGGCTTGTAAATTTGCATAGTATAGATATCTGTTAATTTTTAAACCCACTTTTTTGGAACGCTTACTATGTACATGTACATGACATGTGCGTACTTGGGTGTACAATACCCACAGACATTTGGGGTTTGGAGCTCAAAACGCCTTTAAAATCCAAATAAAATGCATATTTGTCAATCCCAGCACATGTTCTGATCATATATATCAAAAAAACTTAATATAAGCCGTTTTGAAAAAATTTCATATTTCAACATCTATAATAATTATTATAGTTGTTGAAATATGATTTTTTTTCAAAACGGCATATATTAAGATTTTTTGATATATATGATCAGTACATGTCCTGGGATTGACAAATATGCATTTTATTTGGATTTTAAAGGCGTTTTGAGCTCCAAACCCCAAGTGTCTGTGACAATACCTACCTCTGTTGGAACACGTTATGAAATACGTTTCATTAGATTTACATTTTTTTACAATTATGAAAAGCTTGACAACAACAGCAACAAGAACAAAAGATAACAAGAATAGAAAATAGTAATAACAACAAAAGAAACTTTAGCTAAAAAAGAATATTAAAATACATATTAAAATGTATTAGTTCTGTATTTTGCCTTTTATGTGGTTATTTATATCCTGCTTATATAAGGTTGGGTTTGTTCAAGATACACTAAACTATGGTACATTTACCTATACACCAACTCAGTATTTGGATGTTCACCCAGGTGTTAGATAAATTGTGGGTCATTTATTCAGTGTATTTGTTACTTATACAATGCCCCTCTGAAGTTAAATACATGCTGATGCTGTACAGATTGTTAAATCGTTTCTCTTCTCTTAATTAATTTCCTGTTCAGATGACATGTCCTGTTGTCTTACCTCAACTGTTGTACTTAGATATTATATTGTAATTAAGGACTTATGAAAATATTTTTCTGAATCTGAATTGTGGAGATCAGATGAATTGAAAATTGAGCATAATGTTTGGTGCACCTCACCTATAATGGTGTTAATCAATTGGCACTTGGACCAAAAATGGATTTTCGCCCTACATTTAGTGGTAACTTTCTATAATTTATACCTTGCTTCACATGAGAAAGCAAGTGCTACATTGATAAACAGCTGTTATGTTGTTAATTAAAGTGAAAGCGATGTACAGTCCGATAATGTGTAAAAAAATACGTATCGACATTTTGAAGATAAAGTCAGTTAGGATTCAAATGAGAATAAAAGCTAACGGGTCTGACTAAATCGTACTTAATAACATAATGAAAAAAGGTAAGGAAATATGAAAGTGTTCACGGAACAACCGTCCTTGTTCGACTAGTCAATAGATGAAAATGTATCGAGTAACGTTGTGCTTTAGGCGCTGCTTGTCAAAAAAAATAAAATAATTAAAAGCACCCAACAGGCAAGGTCATGCATCAAAAACGTAGCGTCCAAAAGTTGTAATTCAGGCCGTAGCGACTTAATATTCGCGGAATTCGCGGTTAATACATATCCGCGAAAGTTTGTCTCCGCGAAAATGCCGACGTTGTGAAAAACGCGAAATATTGTATCCGCAAACATTTCTAGGAATACAGTAATATAGGTAATTTAGATTCTAAAGGAGAATAAGCATTTATGTAAATGGCTGTGTAACTTCAATTTAATCTATTAATCTTGTTTAAACTATTCCAGGTTGTTTCCCTCAATAGCATTCATGGCAAGCAGGACAATAAGTCATCTGTACTCAAGGCTATTGGTCATGAGTTCAAATTAAGGAGAGCATTTTAATAACACTCGGGCCTTTTTAGCTTGACTATTCGATAAGAATAAGTAGAGCTATTGCAGTCACCCGAGCGTCGGCGTCCGCGTCAGCGTCGTGTAACCACTTATGTTAAAGTTTTTGTAATAGTTCAAATATTTTCAAAGTCCATTGACATATGGCTTTGAAACTTTGCACACTTGTTCACCATCATGACCCCAACCTGGAAACAGGAGGAGGTAACTCTATCAAGCATTTTGACAGAATTATGCCCCTTTTTCGACTTAGAATTTACGTTAAAGTTTTTGTAATAGTTCAAATATTTTCAAAGTCCATTGACATATGGCTTTGAAACTTTGCACACTTGTTCACCATCATGACCCCAACCTGTAAACAGGAGGAGGTAACTCTATCAAGCATTTTTTTTACTATCAAGCACTAAGAATAGTCAAGCGTTGCTGTCCTACCGACAGCTCTTGTTTCCTTCTATAGCAGGGACCGTTATAGGTCTGCTTCCCAAAAGAATTCTTTAAAATCATGCAGTTTTACCCAAAAATTGAATTTACGTCAAGTTTTTTCTTCCCCTTTTGCAAATATAATATGTAATTTTTCCCCAAAATTAAGGGCAGGGCTGATTCCCCAATCTGTCAAAAAAGGCATTGACGCTCTCTGAAGATCACAGATCTGCCTCATTTTGAATAATCTTGGTTTTCAAAAATGCTTTCATTTGTTAACTTACAAATGTTGAGGGGTGCAGGATGTGCCTGAGATGCATTTTTAGTCTTAATGATGGACAGGAAAGCTATAGAGAACAATCTATCCATTATGCACACCGTTATGATGCTTTCTTAAAATAGAACATTTTGTATTTCAGTTAATATAAGGAATATATGAACCATGTTATACCTTTTGCATGGTTTGATGAAATGTTTCGCTCTGTTAATTTTACCATTGAGCCATTTAAGTATTCAAACAACTTTTATTTTTCATTTTCAGTCCAGAGCAGACAGGTAGCAACTAAATCTGGTGGATTGAAAAAGTCAGCTGCACCATTGGTTCTCGGTACACTTGCAGCTGGAGCTGGCACCTATGGTTTATATAAGTATGTGAGCCGGGAAACAGTTACCGAATTGGCTGAGGCAGTTAAAGTACTCCCACAAGTATCTGCAGCAAGTGGCCCATCAAGTCAGCCTTCTGTAAGTATATTTAATGATGAGTCAACAGTTTTCTTGGTATAACTTAATCTTCCCACCAGGACAATTGATTACTTAATACCAACATCAAAACAACAATTGGTATAACTTAATACAGTTACACCCATCAGGACAACAATTGGTATAACTTAATACTGTTACACCCATCAGGACAACATTTGGTATAACTTAATACAGTTACACCCATCGGGACAACAATAGGTATAACTTAATACTCCCTACAGGCCAACAATTGGTATCACCTTTATACACCCTTTATGACAACAGTTGGTATAACTTAATTCTCCCACCATGGCAACAATTGGTATAACTTAATACATCCATTAGGACAACATTTGGTAAACTTAATACACTCACCATGACAACAATTGGTATAACTTAATACACTCACCAGGACAACAATTGGTATAACTTAATACACCCACCATGACAACAATTGGTATAACTTAATACACTGACCAGGACAACAATTGGTATCACCTTAATACTCCCACCATGGCAACAATTGGTATAACTTAATACTCCCACCATGGCAACAATTGGTATAACTTAATACTCCACCATGGCAACAATTGGTATAACTTAATACTCCCACCATGGCATCATTTGGTATAACTTAATACTCCCACCATGGCAACAATTGGTATAACTTAATACTCCCACCATGGCAACAATTGGTATAACTTAATACTCCCACCATGGCAACAATTGGTATAACTTAATACTCCCACCATGGCATCATTTGGTATAACTTAATACTCCCACCATGGCATCATTTGGTATAACTTAATACTCCCACCATGGCAACAATTGGTATAACTTAATACTCCCACCATGGCAACAATTGGTATAACTTAATACTCCCACCATGGCAACAATTGGTATAACTTAATACTCCCACCATGGCATCATTTGGTATAACTTAATACTCCCACCATGGCAACAATTGGTATAACTTAATACTCCCACCATGGCAACAATTGGTATAACTTAATACTCCCACCATGGCAACAATTGGTATAACTTAATACTCCCACCATGGCAACAATTAGTATAACTTAATACTCCCACCATGGCAACCTTTGGTATTAATAGAATCTATCATTGGGTTGGATAGAGGATAGGGAAATCCCAACCCGAGGGTGATCGGTTCTATCGGGAACGAGCCTTGGCGAGTTTCCGATGGAACCGATTGCCCGAGGGTTGGGATTTTTCTATTCTCTATCTAACCTAATGATTGATTATTTTTCTCACTCACCTGGACACAGAAACTAGATCTACTTGCTACGCCCTAGTTTTGAAAAGCGGGGCGGGGCTTAGGCGCCTGACGTCCGTCCGCAAAAAATTCTACTGACCATGTTTATGTGTGAAAAATTCAATGAAAATAAATTCATATGAGATCCCTCATAAAAAAGCAAGGTTATCTTGATAAAACACATCAATATTAAAGTTGCAAAGTGTCATAATATAAGTGTTTATAAGCTATTCAGTCCATATTAAATGGTTGCCAAAAAGTGTTTACCGTTTGAAACGATTTTTCTACTTATTCGGTTATTTTGGCCGAATATTCAATTAAAATATATCAAAATGAGATTCGTCATCAAAAAGCATATTTATCATAACAGAAAACATGGATGTTCTACATGAAGAGCATCATAATATCCGATTTTACGAAAATTTTGCGATATTTTAAAGTGTGCTATTTTTAGTAACAAATCGATATTGGAAAGGGCGGACCTAGGTTGAGTACGACTGGTTGCAGTGTGAAAGTTAATATCAATCTATTTTGATTCCATGGACATTTTAGTAGATTAGCTCAAATATTTTAATACATTTTGAACTTTTGACGTTTCATTTTTGTTAAAATAGGAGTGAATCGCGTATGTGTAGGAATACGTCAGAAGTGCTGCACGTTGAGTGTGAGATAAGCCCATGTGAGATAAGATTTTCCAACACCGCTATTTTTAGTAACATTTACGGATTTTTCTATCTGGTTAGTGAGAAAAATCAATACACCCATTAGGACAACATTTGGTATAACTTACACCCATTAGGACATTATTTGGTATAACTTAATACACCCACCAGAACAACAAATGGTATAACTTAATATTTCCATCAGGGCAACAATTGGTATAATCTGGACAACAATTAGTCTAGCTTAATACTCCTACCAGCCAACAATTGATAAAACTTTACTTTCCCACCACAACAGCAATTAGGTAGAAAAGGAAACTTACATGTATGAATATTAATATAGATCTCTCCTAATCTGTTAATCTAATTGAAGAGTTCTTGGCATATGTGTAAGCAAATTTGACAGGTAGGTGAACTACAAGAGTTTCTTACAAATTATTAAAATTCACTTACAGGTATTTTCACAAGGAAAAGACCATGCTTTATATTTGTGGATTGAGTTGACCCCTGAAGCTAATGCTAAGGAGGTGGTAAAGGCTGCAAAATCACTACAGAAGTTGGTTGACCAGGTCACGGATCCAAGTCTGCGTGATGAGATGGATGAAATTTGGGCAGGAGTTGGATTTAGTCCAAATTTTTACAAGCAGGTAAATTGAAAATGGGTCATTATATTGTAAATGTGTGAAACATTAAAAGGCAATAAAATTGTGCTTTGATCATTCAATAAAATGTTGCAAAATCAAATTGAATTTTTGATAAGCAAAGAAAATACTTGACAGCTGGGATGTGAGATTTTAGCATAAAAATTCTGTTTTATATTAGGTCCTCTTACTTAAAGTGTATTAACTATTATATTAAAAGATTTAATTTCATGGCAGCACTCACTGGCTGTTTTACATTTGGTTATCTTTAACAACACATAGTGCTTGTAACTTTATATGATATAGATGTTAAAAAAAAATACATGTTCTTATATTTTGTTGTATTTTAAACAATTGCACTGGATAACTGTATTCAAATTGAAAAGAAAAATCAGTATGTTTACCTAAAGTGTGTTCACTTAATTTTAAGTTTCATATGTAAATGAGTTTGGTTGTATTCATTATCAGCTACTGAAATGATATTGACCTTGACTGAAGATAGTGTATGATTACATGTATATAAACTGTCATTAGTATATTATACATCTATATTGTCATGTAGATTATTTTGATTTAAAAATAGCCTAATTATAAGGTTGAATGAAGTTGACCTTTTCTTGCTTACTTGTTTGTTATTTTAGCTGTGGGTGAGCTTTATGGTAAATATTACTTTTTAGTAATCATTTTGATCACAAATAGATGTTCGAGCAATTTTTGATGCGAGTTATAAATGTCTTAAATGCATAATATAGGTGTGTTCTCATACAATTTTTGTATGAATATGTCTATGCTCACTTGTATAAGAGGTAGATGAACTGTATACTAGTATATTTATGATATAGATACAAGTACTTGTGTGAATTTGATTCATGTGATCTCTCAATTGCCAAAAATGTGTATTGATATGACTGAAATTTTCTTTTGTTATTTCTTCTGATTGAAAACTGATAATTTATTGTGTAGCATGTTTAATCAATGGTATGAATCTCCAACCTGCATTCATTTTATAGCTTAACTTTTCAAACAATAGTGGGGCTATCATATTTGTCAGGGTGTTGATGTCAATGTCTTTGTAAGACTGGTTGAAAGTTTTATGTGCAGTATCTTGTAAATGATATCTCATTGATCATTGCAGATATATGCTTGTAACTTTAGTGGTGTGTGCTGTACTACTGATAGCTTTTGTTAATTATTATATATGAATTTGATGTCACAATCATGTACATTATAATTTTCTATACATCTATTGTATTGCTTAAGGGTTCAGGATAGATTAAGGAATTTTATGGCGTTTTATGAAAGATTTAAAACCATGTTAGCTTCATACAACTTAACGGTCTCATCTATTGATCCAAATTTTAAGAGGGATGATAAGATTTTGACTAAATTGAAAATACTGGGTACATATGACTATTTCAGGTTGGAGGCAAAGCAAAACAAGATTATACTTATGCGCACAGACGAGGTAACCTTGGTGATATGCCTAGTTCAGGTATGAACTCAAGTTCTTTCATTATTTTACTGTTTTATGCAGAGACATAGATAATTATCTATGTCTCTGTGTTATGTAATAAGTTTTTAAGAATATTTTTACATATCATAATGCTTTAAAGAATATTTTTTTAACAAAGTAAAAAATGCATTTTTTTTTGAATATAAGTTCAATACATGTTTATCTTAATATACCAGTACATGTAACATGTTGTTTCAATAAAAATTATTATAAACATTCATCAAAATATCCAGAAATGTCTTGGCCGGTTTAGTCTGTACACTGGAAGATCATCTTTTATTGTCGGGACACCTGTTGATGCCCTCCAATCTGTGAAGCATGAATCAAATAATTTAACTCCAGCTTTACTGTTTTATTGTTTTAGAATTTGGCAGATAAATAAATAATGCCTAAAGAAAATGTGTATATTTATTTATATTTCAGCTGGAGATGTGTTTATCCATGCTAAATGTAACACCCCCAGTAAGCTGTTTGAACTGGCACAGGTATTTCTCGCCAGCTTACCAAAGGGCAGTGTTCGTGACTACGAGGATATTTATAGTTTTGTTTACAAAAACGGCAGAGATCTTTCAGGATTCATTGATGGTATTTTCTTTGACTTGTAACAAAAATGTTTTTTAGGTAAAAGAAATGAACGCAATTGATATAAGTTCTTAATTATAGTTAAAAAGATAAGTAATACTTTTATTTCAGCATCATCATTCATTTCACACATTTCACAGTACATGAATAAATGTGGTTAAATATACTAAATGTATTACATGTACAATGTAGTTAATTTCCAAATCCAGAGCACAAATATTGGATATAAGATAGTCTATGCTTTATGTTTTAAGACCATCCATAGATTCCATACTTTCTTTTATCCTTTACTATTTTACTAATTTCGCATTTATAGAAACTAGAGTAAAATACAGGAAAATATATACATGTAACTGTGATCATATAAATTGTTTATCTAGGTACTGAAAATGCAGCAGACGATGAGAGTAGAGAACAGATTGCAGTAGAGAAAGAGACTGGTGGAAGCTATGTGGTAATTGAAATAAATAATCAAAATAAAATTTACTTGTTTTAAGATGATTGATATTACTGAAAATTGGTCAAATAAGACGTGCTCAGGTTATCATCATTTATAAATATACATTCTCAATAATTTCTGCAGAACAAAGTTCTGTGGATTTATGTAATAGCAAAATATTGATGGTCAAAATAATAAAGTCTTATTTTTGTGCTGAACAATGTTTTTGTATTACATTTTGTAATAATATCTGTACCAAGATTATTATAAACATGTATATATACACAATGTATATATATATTCATACTTTATTTTTGTCTCATTCGTATACATACATTTTTATACATATTTACACATATTCACATAAATTCTGCATACGACCATTCTATTTAAGAATTTTAAGAGACATTACATCAATAATAAACATATTCAAGACCTATACAGTTAGTCTAAGACTAAAATCAAATAGTAAAATTACAATGTATTTAAACAAAATATTAAAAGTAAGGTAACCATCGCTAATCGAAAAATAAAAACTGCTAAGAAATTGAGAATTGTAAATCGGAGCCCTATCGCGCCTATAAAAACGTTTTAAAAGATCGATTATCATCCAAGATAAGATCTTGCATGACCTGATTAGCAAGGATTACCTTAACCTAGGTAAAAAACATTATCATGTTTAAAGCAAATATAATGGCATTATTTACAAGAGAATAAAAGACGACGTTGTAGAATGTTAAAACAGGTTTTGGCACAATAACGTATCATTTCAGTTATAGTGAACAGAAATATTAATTGTTCATTTTTAGACATTTGTACAAATGCACTATCTACTGTTTTAGCCTTATCAAATAATGATTGTCGTAAGTCATCGTACACAAAGCAATCAAGAATGACATGGCTTTCGTCTTCAATACTGTCACAGAACTGGCATTTTCGTTCCAATACATCTAAGCTTTCGTAACGCCCAGTTTCTATGCGTAAAGGGGCAACACCACAACGAAACTTGCAAAATGCAGTGCGATGACAAGGAGGCATAATGAGTTTACAATATAATTCGGTCTCATATTCTGTTTTAAACAGTCGATATGTACGCAACTTATTGCCACCACGACCAGAAGGACCTGTGACACTATTCAAAGATTCGAGCCAGTTTAAAACAAATTTTTCTTGCAATTTAGTTGTAACAATATTCACTATAGTATGTTTTGGAATGGAAATTCTTATATCACTATATTGGTGCGCATTACAATTTTTTAACATATCATTAACATAGAAAAACCAGTTCCTACATGATCTATTTGCTGCAGATGCAGTACAAAGTGCAACTCGTTTGTTTACTCTACAATCAAGCATATAAGAGACTCTAGATAAATGAATAGCAATGGATTTCCACTGTCTGATTTCTGGGGATATCCATCCCATTTCACCGGAAACCGCGACGTTAGGCGTATATCTACCGACACCTAAAAAGAAACGCATAGCGCGAAACTGCACTGCGTTAACGCACGAGTAAGAGCGATAACCCCAGATAGCAGAACCATAACTGATTGTTGGCCAAACAGTAGAATCATATAGGTGGGTAAATACATCGTACGGAAGACCACCAGACGATTTACATTTAGCAATAAGAAGGCCAAGAGCCCGACTTGCACTTTGAGCTACAACCTTTGCAGTAACATTGAAATCTAAGTGCTCTTGCAACATTAATTCCTAAATACATATATCTATCAACGATATTAAGTGTGTGAACACCACATATAAAACTGAACGATGTTCTACATACAGATAAGGTCTAAAATGGACAATTTGACTTTTACTACTATTTATAAACATATCGTTGGTGCTACACCAGGTGTTAAGTGCATTTAATAAACATTGTAAATCTTTCTCATCTTTTGCCAACAAGACAATATCATCTGCATAGAGTAACATACATATTTTATCAGATCCATAGTCAACACCTATATCAAGAGATTTCAGGTAAACAGCAAGATCATTTATATATAAATTAAACAAAAGGGGAGATAATATACAGCCTTGACGTAATCCAGACTTAACAGTAAACCAATCAGTATGTTTAGAGTTAATTCTTACACATGAATATACAGAATCATACATGTATGTAACTATATGTACAAATATTTAGATGTCCTGGTAATTATATAATTATATATACCAAGGTATTTTTAGCTCACCTGAGCTAGCTCAGGGGGAGCTTTTAGGATCGTTGAATGTCTGTTGTTAGTCCTCTGTCCACATTTGTTGTTAACACTCTAGCGGTTACATTTTTGCCTCAATCATCATGAAACTTTGTCAGGATGTTTGTCTAGGTGATAGCTTGGATGAGTTTGAACATGGGTCATCTCAGATGAAAATCTGGTTTACAGGAGCTAAAGGGTTATTTTATGTATCAAGGTGATTTTAAATGCTTATATTTGATTGAAAGTTTTGTTTTTCTTACAGATAACCCAGAAATGGTTACATGATATGAAACTGATAGGTAGTGAGAAAGGTAATTTACATGAATTCATTTACAGTCCTGTAATTATTAACTGGAAGTTTTGCACAAGTTTTGTCAATATTTAATATAAAACATGTACATTACAATGGTAATATTTTCAGTATTTTAAATTATTGATAACAATAATAGAAATGTATCAGTTGAATATTATGATAAAAATGTTGCTGGAAAAAAAGCATGTTGTTAATTTTTTAAGTGTTTTAACATGAATATTTATATGAATAAATAAAACATGTAATATTTCCTTCTAGAGTCATTTGTTATCTGTAGATATCTAGTATATAATACTGAATCTCAAACTTTCAGTTACATCCATTTATTATTCTCTATAGGTTTGTTGTCTCATAGGATATAAAAATAATACCATCAACATTATTATCTATGGTGTAACAGTTCATCCTGTATAAAGCAATGCACTCTAAATAACAAGATGAATTTTTTGGTTTGAAGTCAATATACAAACAGTCTGGTTATGCCGTCTGTACTGGCACTATACATGTACTTGGGGCAAAGGCTTATCACTTTCGGTTTAAGAGATTAAATAAAAGAATTTGTTAATAAATATTTTTTTGCACCGTTTTCTTTTTTAGCATAAACAACTTAACATGTACATTAATGACTGGTTTCTATTGTAGATAAAGTGATGGAAGGATGGGTGGGAAGAACCAAATCTGACAGCACGGAAATTTCACGCAAGTCTATCACATCACATGTTGCTAGAATGACAGGAGGTAGAATATACGATACTTTATAATTTTACAATATTTAAGTCATATACAGCTGTTTAACAAGTGCTCAAGCATTGTGTGAAGAATTATCTTGTTATCTTGACTATTCAAAGAATAATGAGAGCTGTTGTAATCACCCAGGCATGTGCGACACATTTTGGTTTAGTTTTTGCATGCAAGTTGGTACGGAGGAAATGGGTTGAAACTTTAATCACTTATTTGAGAGCAAAATATGAGGTGACTTTCCAAGGCCTATGATTTTGGCATGCACTTTGTTAGAATTATGTTTTGTTTTTTTTAACTCACAAAATTTACAATATCAAGGCTCTTGTTTTTTTACTATCAAGCATTGAGAAAAGGCAAGCACGCTATCCTACCAACAGCTCTTGGTTTTCCATTAGTCTTTATTTTTAAGCAGATTATAAGATATTTATCCTGCACAATTTTTCAGCATCAATTGTTAATGATCTTTGTAACAGTCAAATCACGCAGGTCTATCACATCAGTAAAGTTATGAAGAAAGTTAAAGTATTGTCAATTCAGCTCTATTTGACAATGAAAAAAATGAGCACATTGCCACTTTAAAAAAGATAATTGAGAATGTTAGTTCTGATTTTTTAGGTAATGGCTTCCAGCAGAAGAAACCTTTTGAGATTGTACGTCAGTCGATGCCTTTCGGAACATTGAAAGACGGCTGTGGTCTGTTCTTCATTGGTTACTCTGCTTCACCAGATAACCTTAACTTTATGCTGGATAACATGGTGGGAGCTGGTAAAGATGGACCACACTGTGATGATGTGATGAGACTTACCAAAAACGTCAAGGGCACATACTGGTATTTCCCTGGAAACGAAGAACTCGTCAAACTTCATTAAGTAGAGACATTACAAAATAAAAAACATGGACAAAATATTGGTCTCATATATCAACAGTCATATTTTGTGTTTGTCAGAATAAGTTTTGCACCTATAGTTTAATGGGATATAACCTTGATTAACTTGTTTCAATTTAGTTTACTTTCTTAAAGCAATACTATGATAAAGGGCCAGCATCTTGCCTCAATGGTCGCTTTCAAAATACATGTTAGAAAGGTGGTGACAAAATTGTTGTAGGTTTTGTTTTGATGCCTGGTATATATATTTAATAGGTTTGATATAATATATTTGAAAAAAAAACAAACATAAGAAACATTTCTCACATTTACAGAAATTTTGCTTGTGATTCAAATTGGGAGGCCATTATTTCTGTCTTGGTATACATAATATGCAAAATATACTTGACCAAGGTTTTCTTTTTACAGTTTCTTCATAATGTAAAATGTTTTATTTTATTAATATATATTAAAAATTGCATTGAGAGATTTTTCTGTTTACTGATATTTTCACAGGTGAAGTAATACTTTGTGTTAGTTTATATATTTAATCGCGTGCTAAATTCTTCCAAATTATAATGTTTCTGTTGTTATATGACAATGTAACAAAGATGACACTTTTACACTAATGATACTTAAAAAGTAGGTACCATTAATAAGTTATTGTATACATTTATATTTAACTGAAATGTTTTGTGGGGTTGTTGGTTGGTTCCATTGGTTGATGCATGTATTAACCCACTTTGAAAATGATCTAAAATGGGTCTGCTGTGATGGCATACATAGAATCAGCTGCCGTAAGCCAAGGCTGGCTTTACAAAAGGATCAAAGGAATGACTTATGCTAAACAAGATTATTGTAAATGTTGTATACATGTACATTACAGAACAATAGGTAATGTTTTGGTGTTTCGTTTTCATGAATTTTGCAAAGTAATCAAAACGTTGTAATTATTTTTTTGTACAAGAAATATAATTTCTAAGCAGAGAAGTGTGTTAATATATCTAACATTTATTGTTTGCAAATCTAGTTTGTGTGTTATATGTTCTTGTATAGTTGTATCTTTTATACACGCAAAACAAAACAGTTGTTTGTATGTTACTGTATACATCATATATTGGTAATAAAGAGAAATATAATTACATTGTTCTATTTTGTTACTTGGTTTTCAAGATTTTATTGAAAAGAATCAAACTTGTAATCAAAATACTGATAGATTGTTAAGTCCTAGTGACAACGACATCACTGTCTTGGACTTGCAGATTATTTATATTTGCATAGAAAAATAAAAAAATGTGGATTGTCAAAAGTTAACACCCAAGTTCAATGTTTTAATATGAAAATTTCCGGGAAAATTTAACACATTTTACACTGGAAGCACCAATTAACATGTAGATTTGTAGTGGTTTTATAGCCAGTTGAATACATCTCGGGGGGGGGGGGGGGGGGGGGGATTGGGGGTTGTTTTCATCTGTACCATTGTCAAGGCAAATCAATACCGACGATTCTTTATTGCCAGAGCATGTCCATTAACCAAACACAGATTCTTGTTCAGATATACTATTATATTATTAATTAAAGCAGCAACCCTTCACATTTGTGGTAATATAACTGTCCAGTAAATATTGTTCTGTATACAAATAAAGTACAAATAAAGATTGCTAACTATGTTCGCAAATACTTTTTACTTTGGGGAAACTACTTGTATGGGAAGAAAGTTATATTACACTATAAGTAAGGGGTAAATTAAGGTAAAATAGTCAATCATGTAATACTTTGCATAATTCTTTCAAAGTTTCACCTGGATTGTAAATACACATTTGTATTGTACTTTCACACCTGAAGTTGTTCCACATGAAGAAGAAAAGAATAACGCAAAATGTTTCAATGTGAAATGTATTTCATCTTGACATATCAACAAAATTCTTCTAACACATGACATTATACAATTATGAATACATATATGTACATATTGCACAAAATAAATAATTTATACAGAACAAAAACATTGTGGATAGTTTTAACATCATTAACATAACAGACTAAAGACAGGAAGAATTTAACTTCTAGAACTACAGAAGTATAAGACACATATTCTAGAACACTGTAAAGATGTGACCTACACATTCTAGAATACATCTGGTGAGTAAATGTTAAGTGAGTTAAGTTAAAATGTACATATTATAATTATTTAATGTTGTGCAAATTTATACATTTAATGATTGTCGGAAAGAAGCAGTTGAATGTTCAATTTAAGTAACAGCTCATTAACAGAAGAAATATTTAAGCAATATTTATATATAGATAGGAAAGGGCAAGAGAAACTAACTAAAAATTGCAGACTTGGTTTAATAGAATCTGTTCATGACAGATAATGGAAAAAGTAAGCTGTATAGTACTGGCTTAAACAATATTCAATCTTCAATAAAGTATTTGAAACAATGATCATGCAGAACCAGAAAATATGACAACACTGAAATGAATTATGGGTGAATTCCCCCCCCCCCCCCCCCCCCCCCCCCCCCCGGAAAACATCCAGAGTTAAAAACTTACGATACAAGAAAACAAAGATAAAAATTTAACTTTAACATTAACTTTAACACAGAGGAAGTAAAGGAGATGTACTTTTCTTGGAAAAAACCTGTACATATGAATAAGGAAGATATTTATTTTAACCAAAGATTTTATCATTAAGTTAGTTCCTTACATTGTAACATTAGATTACCCAGGACCTTGTGAACTTTTAGATGAAAGTAAAGCTTGAATTTTCTAAAAGTATTTCGGCAAATATAAAGATATATAATCATATCTCATTTATCCATCTTCAGTTTTGACAAAAACATTGCAAATAAAGGGATATATGTTTATACTAAATTGTGAGGGTATTCTATATGAAGTCTGTACTATAATGGACAAAGTCCTCTTTATATGAACAACAACAAAGATTAATGAAATGCAATTAAATCCTTGCATAATAAGACTTTGACAATAGGAATGCTTTCATATATAATTAAACATTGTAACACAAAAAATCATAAAACATAGTCAAAATACTGTATCATTGATAAAATCAGCAAAGGTAAAGTTGTAACAACTTTTTTTTCTCTTAAAATGTGTAAAAAGATGGTATTATTTAGAAAATCCCTACATTTGCGCAACATTTTAATGCCACATTTATTTGTGCTTTTATCTTATAAATACTTGTAGCAGAACCAGTTTTAAAAACGTTTTTGTTTTCTTATTTGAATCTTATTTGATTTACTGCTGTTGCTACTAAAGCTGAGATTCAAGATCTGTGATATGACATGAATTTAACAAACTAAACATCTCTGTAACAATGCAGCAGCTCCTTTACTTTTTGTTGATATATGAGCCGCGTCACGACAAAACCAACATAGTGCGTTTGCGACCAGCATGGATCCAGACCAGTCTGCGCATCCCAAAGTCTGATCAGGATCCATGCTGTTTGCTATCAGTTACTCTACTTGTAATAGGGTTTGTAAGCGAACAGCATGGATCCTGATCAGACTGCGCGGATGCGCAGACTGGTCTGGATCCATGCTGGTCGCAAACGCACTATGTTGGTTTTGTCGTGACACGGCTCATATAAATTCATTTGCCACCAGCAATTTATATACACAGCGTCTCACTTAATCAGAAATATTTATGACATATAACGGATGATATGAGTATTATCTATAACTAGCACTTTAAATAATTCCCTCATTATAAACTATTTACAGCTAAACAATACCTCCTGTTCAAAGGCCATTTGCCTATCAAGACCATTACTTCCATACAGAGCTAAAATAGATTAATGCCCTGATTGACATACCCCCCCCCCATCAAACTTAAAAATAAATCATACACTTAACATTTATTTAAATCTATGATAAACTTAGGCCACAAGTGCAAAAGGTTTGCTTTTTCACTTTCCTAAACTGTTTATTATATGTAAATGAGTCGCAATGAAATTTTTAGTTCATTGTCAGTATGTTTTGTCTAAAACTCCTTCCTTCAGCATAAGACTTCCAGTGAAAGGTTTGGCTGTACTTCTGTATTCACCCTTGAATCATTTTGTTCTGTCCCCCTCTTTCTTTAAGGAGTAGGTGGCATGGTGGAAACTTCTTGAAGGATTGTTTGTTGATCTATGTTTATTTCTGACACTGATTTCCGTACATCTATTGTTATTGACCGCACCTAAAATAGAGATTTTGAACTACTAAATACCTTATGCAAATTTATATATCAGATATGATCTTTTCTGCAAACGTAAAACAATTTACCTTACTTAAAAAAATACCTTTACTTACATCAAGTATTCCATGTTTCCTTGAGCAAGAAACTTTACACTCATTGCTCAGTACTGGTTGGTTCAAGAGTATGTCTATAAGCTTTAAGCTTCATACACAATCGAACTAAAACTTTTTTTGTATAAACCAAGTATTCCATCAATGTATTGAAAATGCACACAATACCAATCACTAGTTCTTCTCCCTTAACCTGTCACATTGATGAGATGGACTCAACTTGCCATGAATTTGGAACAGCCCATTTAAAAGACCACATGGGCCCCTCTATCCATTATTTAAGGCACTAAAAGGCACCACAGTAGAACCACCAACATTCCATAAGCTAGCTGGGTAGCTTGCTCACATGAGAGAATCCAAAGTCCCTTGCAAGATTTGAACCTACAGCAGTGAGAGACAAGTGATTTGAACTAAACAACCTTAACCACTGCATGATTGTACAGGCTATCCTGGTTCTATATTGGTGCCAAAGGCAAACTACTTTTGATTCTGGTTCTATATTGGTGCCAAAGGCAACTACTTTTGATTCTAACAGGGTAAGGGTCATTGTTGACAGCTTTAATGTTGAAATTTCAAATTCTCGACTGTAGCTTATTTAGAATTTAATACTTGCATCAGAACTCAAGTATCATACATTTTGTATTATTTTACAGAACAACATACCCTTCCTAGTACAGTATATTTCCAAGCACAAATATGCTAGCGGATGAGTTAATATTTTAAATCCCAAGTCAGTGGATGACAAACTCCATATACTAAAGCTATTCTGCAATAATGTTGTATTTTAAAAGAACAGAATTGAGCCGTGTCACGACAAAACTAACATAGTGCTTTTGCGACCAGCATGGATCCAGACCAGCCTGCGCATTTGCGCAGTCTGATCAGGATTCATGCTGTTCGCTATCAGATTCTCTACTTGTAATAGAGTTGGTAAGCAAACAGCATGGATCCTGATCAGACTGCGCGGATGCGCAGGCTGGTCTGGATCCAGGCTGGGCGCAAACGCACTATGTTGGTTTTGTCGTGACACGGCTCAATTGGTTTTAACCTACCAGCTGTGTAAAGAAGGAAGCTTCATTTGGTTTTTCTGTGTATCTTTCAAACTGATCGAGGCTGTCCTGTAACTTGAGTGTTAGTGTATCATAACTCCCTCGTACTACTTCCAACACCTGTATAAAATGATGGTATAAACTCTAAATGCTAAACTTGTATGTTTGTAAGGTGCATTTTTAAAAAAAAAATAACAAGACTTTAAAAAAAAAAGTTTTATGTTTATTCATCTATAATGATAACAGAGGTAAGTTGTGGCCTTGTGATCTCAACTCAGGGATCATAGGTTCGAACCATGCTGGAATCACAACTGTCTACTCATATTCAGGAAGTGCTTTTATTGAGAGTAGTAAAAGTATGTTTAACCTTTCATCACAATCATGCTTAATATATTATATTATATATGTTTTAACTATACTATTCAACTAAATCATAATAATAATCTACGATTACGTCAAAAGTCAATTTAACACTTATCAAAAAATACAAGTCTCCCTTATATAGAACATTCCTCATCGTCAAGGTAACGATAATGTAGGAAACAAAAAGGCACATGACTTTCATAATTTGATCAAAGGGAGATAATCACTATGTCATGTTGAAGCCAGGTATCACATCAATTTATTCAGGTTAAAAAATGGCTTCTTTCACATCACAGGATTAATTTGGAACATTACTAGACTATTATCAGACAAATATTTCTATCAAACAATTTGATATTGTTCCTACAGGTAAAAATTACATGTCCTACCTGTTCTTCAGTCAGAGATGACAGGTGGTTGTTTGCAGCCCAGCTATCAACCTTTGGTGTAAAATGGTTCACTATAGCCCTGAAATATATAACAAAATAATCATAAATAAATAGTAGAATATCATTTCAAATAATAAGTCCATTTTGTGAAAAACTTAGCTAACTTACGACACTGTATGCTAAGACAATCCCCTTTTCTCTACCACGACTCTGTTTCAGAAAACATGAAAAACTTAAATTTAACATTATTATTATACTGATTGATTTCATACTGAACAAGAGTGCCTTCATGACTAAAAAAATCCTGAGCAAATTCCTGAAAACTTGTACCAATATGCCTAAATTAAAGCCCAATTTTCACACATACTTACCAATCTCCATAAAATCAAATGAGACAGAGCTCACAAACAAAATTCATAACAACAGCCCAACTGTTATCAATTTAACCCTAACTATTATGATATGCGAAATGCTTGAACTTCAAAACATTTTCCACCAGAATAGACCCTAGCCTGGCTATATATCTGTGTATTTTGACCAAGTCCATTACAGATGTCTGACAAACTTCTAATTTTTATTGCAATATCCCTAATATTGATAAATGGACAGGCTCAAGCAGAAGGTTATACAAGTCATTTCAGTAAATTCAGCAAGTGAAACGTTAATTGCCAACACGACAGCACTCAACAGTTTCAAGAATTAAAACCAAAACATATCTTAAGCCTACATAATCACCAGAGTACTATATTTCATATTGAAATGTCTTTGTGAAGTAATAATAAAGATACACACCTTACATTTATAAGATGGTTGGTTAGTCTGGCAGCAGACTCTTTGTGTTCACCCTCACTTGTTGTATACCTTAATGCTTAAATAAAGAAACAAATGTACATTTTGTTTGTGTTAAAAACTATTAAATAAATATTCATCTTTCATCAGTATTATTACAAGTATTGTAAAACTTCAAAACTTGCTTTTGTATCTATACAAAAATATCTTGCTGAACTCTACAATGATCTACATGAATTTTTAATATATTCAAGTCATGCAACCCGACAATGCCTTAATAATAGTGACTTTGTTTGGGTGTTCTTTCCTATCAGTTACACCATTCATTAATTTGATAATACCTTCAGAATATCCCTCAAATTTAAAAAAAAGTTCATTTGACACCATGTGGTTAAAGCTTTCAGTATATTACAGCAACTAACATGTCTAGATATACTTTTTTTCTATGTAAAAGCAATTACATGTACTTAATATTACAAGAAAAGTTTTATGTACTCATGTACTTGGTATTTATAACACTGCATGTTTGTCACATGGCTTTTTGTTGGATAATCAGGACTTTCATTTCGTTTTATATACATGGCTGCTGTCATTATATGAAGCAATCTCACTTTTTTCTCTCTAAAAAAAGGAATTTTGTTGTATTATAAATTTCTTAAAAATCTTCCTGACAGGTTATATGACCATATATAAATGGTTGTTTGCAATATAACCATTTATAAAGGGTCATATAACCTTAAAAAAAACCACTTTAAACTAATAATATAAGGTAACTATAACATACCCATGGAATAAAGATTGTCAAACACTTGGTGCATTCTAATTATCTCATAGTAAAGTTCATCATAACTATTGGGGTTGGGCAAGAATGTATCTCCATATGTTATAAATAAATTGAAAATATTCACTATCTGAAATATAAAATAAAATAACGATTATTTATTTAGCTACTTAAATAAAAACAACAAAGAAAACATATCATTTGCTAGTAAAATCATCATACATTTGTTGTGGTGGTGTTGCCAGTTCACCATCATGGCAGTAAGGCACATTAAATTAACCTAACCAAAGTTCAGCCTATGCATCATCCCTGAGAAAGCTGTCCAGCTGTTAACCAGAATATAGTTGCCTTCACTTTCACAAAGAAATGATAAAACAGAGGTACAGTGTGAATGACCATAGAAAGGATCAATCAAGTGACCAGCACCATCCGAGAATAGTGCCCAAGTTGCCAGATTCACAGTCCAATGCTCTTCCTTTTGATCAAACCGGACATTTTATATATATGTTTATAAATCTGTTACTATATATAACTGTGTATCTTAATTTGAAAAGATATATCACAGTTTATTCAATCATTAATTAATGTGAATAATTATGAACTTTATAAGATATACCAAATATAAAATGTACTTATACATTGGTATGTTTTAACAAAATGGAAAATTTGACCTACCTTTGAACAAATATGGAATATGTTAGCTCTTTTAACCAGATGATTTTCATGTGACAGGATAAATTTCAGTAAATTTATTAGAGCTGAAAAAAAAACAATGTTAAATTTCATAATTACTGCAATAGTATTATCAAGTTTAAAGATAAATGCTCAAAATGGATAACTGTTAACTATACCAATCCAAATTATACAATAAATGAATATTGCCAACTATTCACAAAACCTATTTCATGAAGCTGACTTATTTCCTTTCCCTATTTCTGTTATCACAGCAATAAAATATATAGAAGTTGCTAGACTACAGCATAGATACATAATTGCACATCTGACATTATCAGGGTAAAGTCGTATTTACTTTTCTTTTTTTATTTCATCTTTATACAGTGTTCAATCTAGAACAAATTCCCAGGGGGCCCTTCGGGCCCATAAACTTTTCAAAAGAGGGTCATTTGAGAAAAAAGGGGGCCCACACTTAAAAGAACATCAAATTCAAATATGATATTGTATCTTTTAAGTTACTTGTACACGTACCATATATATAGACCAAAAACGGTTGCAAAATTCCAAAACAATCAACTCACTAAAAAAATGACATTATTTTGACCTTTTTTGAGAGTTCTGTTAGCGTTGATACAGGCTCAATTTTAAGAACTAATTGGTAAAGAAACAATGACATAATGTTCAAAGAAACATATGAATCTTATTTTAATGTTACCAGGGATATTTGATAATAATGTTCAGTTTTTTAATCAGCGCCCGATATATAAAATAAAATCATATTTTGCAATTAGCTTTGTTGATGAAGAATATAAACTTACAATAGTCGCTAAAAACATTTACCCTTCTCAATATATCCAAGCGAAAAACAAAGTGTCAACAGGTGCTAAGACAATGTATATTGACATACCGGTACCTTTGATCTTTTGTCAGGGCAGCAGTTCTTACGTCACGCTTAAGATGTCTGTATTGATTAATGATATGCACAATGTTTTAGCGCCGACCAGCCAAAGACCAATCAAAGTTTATTTACTCAATTGTCAGACACTCCCTAGCCAATCGTGTTTGATTAGCTCCATCTTTAAGACTTTTTTAATTGGATGAAGGCGTGTTCGTAATAATTTATGCACACTTCTCTATAATTAACTCGCACTTTTCACAAATATATAGTTTTTTTTTCCTCCGGAAAGTTATGACATATTTATTTGTTTTGACCGTGAAAAAAATATAACTACACGCACGTATTGGATTATCTGTGACGATTTGTTTTGTTTATAAAAACTGTGACTCAAAAGTAAGTAATAGTTACGGTACGAAGAACAGGTCTACATAGTACTTACAGACCCCGGCCGAGAGAGCGTAGCGAAGAGTGCAGTAACTATCTTACCAACATGCTCTTGTTTTTCTATACAAACTTCAGTATTGAATTCAGTATTTATTAATATTATTCGCAAGAACCCTTTTTTATGTACTTAATCAGGTTTAAGAAAGTATTCTAATGTCATTTAGGACATTTCCTATGAGTGCGCCCATCGGGCCCACAGTTGAATTTGTTTTGCGCCGGCGGTCTTTTCAGGGGGTCAATGGCGCAATGGCGCGCTCTAGATTGAACACTGTTTATAAATTAAAGCAACTTAACTCATTGTTCATGAGATAAAGCAGTTCTTTTTTGTCAGTACCAGTATTTAATATACCACAAACAATCATATTTAAAGGATTATTTTAAACAACGAGAAAGAGTTTAAGGCACTTTACATCTCAGAATTGCATTTATCTTTCTGATTTTGGTGTACATTTGTAGTATCCAAAAAGTTACTCATTGGCCAATTACCTAAACCATCTTTTTCATCTGTTGAATTTTGGCAGTAAGTACAATTATAGTGAATTAGTATTTTGTATGGAAGTCAAAATACTACATTGTTCACATTTTGCTCTTTTTTATGACAAATTATTTCACATTCATCACTGCTCTTTATGCACACTCTTCATGCAACAAGCATCTAACATTCACGAAAACCATAATTTTAAACATTATACTTTCTAAAGAAGTAAAAATTCATTTGTTTCTGAAGCATAATGTGCCTTTAACAGTTGTGAGTACAAGTCCTATAATTAAACATGAAGGCATTCATATGAAGTAAGTTACCTGTCCAAAGATTTTTCCATGGATACTGTAATCTCACACGGCATTTTTTCTGGTAACATAAAACTCTGTGACATATACCTAGACATCGACTGAAATGTACACCAGATTGTTATCCCTTTTAATCATTACACAGACTCATCCATCTTTAAATAAATTGAAAACTAAGCATTGATAATTAGCATAAAGATATTAAAAATAAGATGCCAAAGTATCTTGTCTGACTGCCATGCTGTTAACCTTGGTAAGTGAATCAAAAGTAACATTCAAGAGTTAAAAAACAATTACAAATATGATTTTCTATACAAAATATGATGTTATATACATAAGTCTGCTAATTGATACTGTATGAGAGGTAATTCAGCAATTAAATCTTAAAGAGATCTCACATCAATGCAAACACTTACATATAAAGCTCTAGTGGCATGGTCTTCATCAGATGACTCATTATAAATTCTACCATCAGATCTGAAATATGTATCACAAATATTTATCTCATAATCTATAATCACAAGGTGCATAGCTGGACTGAATAATGTCCTTATATTTAAAGAACTAAGTTTAAAACTGGTTAAAGGCTAAAACTTAAAAGATACTTTTGGAATAACCTAAATTCCTTAACTTTCAACTATGTAAAGAGGAATACTGCATATTTATCTATTATGTACAATATAAACAATGATTATTTTGTATATACATGTATTCCATATTAATTTTATTAAATGATATGAACAATTTACCTAATAATGCACAGGCCAGTGGTCTAGACGGAGGTGATGCTTCAAATTTAGCTTTTCTATGTCGCATCGGCTGAAACAGTTTAAAATATATGTTTAGCAGAACATCTAACAATGTCACATTGAAGCGAGAATTTTTTCTAATACTTTTCACCTCTAATACATTTCTTATAGCTATTTTCTCAAAGCTCAGTAACTTTTGATTTTCATGGATTATTGGTATGGTAAATGAATATATGAATTACATCAATGAAGTCTTCTAATGTCATAGTATGACAATCTGGATTTCATTAACATTTTGGATATAAAGAGGACAAAGCTCTATCAATTGTTAGTGTACCATGACAGAACAAACCAAATCAAATGAAATAAGAAATTTTGTACTAAAAAATATAATTGTGTATCAATTGATCTTTCTGTATTTTGACAGAAAACTAGAGATTTATTGAACTAACTTTTAACTAAAACTGCTTACCATTCTATGTAGATGGACTCTAAAATTCATATTGATGTCATGCATGAGTGAGTTAGCATACTGATCCTCTGCTATACATGTCAATATAATGAGACACAGTCTGGCATTATTGTAGCGGGTAGCCTCTGAAATAATATAATCAGTCTAAAATGTTTAACACACACATAAGACACAGTCTGGCATTATTGTAGTGGGTAGCCGCTAAAATAATATAACCAGTCTAAAATGTTTAACACACACATCCTTTCTGTGAATTTTGTGAGAACCAAAATTTGTACATTAATCTGGGGACCTCAATGCCAGTGATTAAGGTAATTAACTTTGAAATGCTTGCCAGCCACCACCAATGTTTCTAATGCAAACAAGTACTTTGAATGTTAGTTTTCCTGTTTAAGAAATCATTCATGCTTGTAATAATGCAATGAAGCATCTGAAGTCTTCCAGAATCATTTAAGCTAAAAAATTGCCAAATGACCTCCACAGTGTCAATGCGACATATAAACTAGACAAAAAAGTGCATCTAAATTTGAAATATTCAATTTTATCCAATATAATGAGGCTTGTCTAAGCTTATCCAGTCATTGCTAGTTAATATAAAACTGTAAATACATTATGATAATGTAACATTACATATAGTTATAGATTATATACCTTTTGTATCTTGTGTGACTACTGAGCTGTATTCAAGAAATGTGACTAGAAGGTTTGTAGGTTGGTGGGCAGGCTCTATGGGTGTTGGGAAATTCTCTAATTGATTTACTGAAATAAAATAAAATAATAACAGAGATCTAGGCTCAATGACGGGTCCATACGCCGCTCCAGGCACTGGAAGTATGGACGTCAATAATTGCAATGAATTAACATAAAGTTTATATATCTTATCCCTGATAAAACAAAGCCCCATAAATAACATACACAGATCATGGTGAAAGACAAAGGTTATATAAATCTTGACCTGTAAGTTGACAAATGAAAAAATGTAACAAAATTTATTTTATATATAAACTTTAGTATCTCTCATGATGAAATTCAATGGTTTTGTCTAGTTGAAATATGATGCAGTTCATCTAAGATATCTAGTTTGGTACGGAACAGTAAAATCCTTATCACAAGATTAATTACAAACAGGCCAATATACATGTAACATTAAACTTTCAACTTTTATATATGTAAGATCAATTTTCTACTCTCATTCTGGATAAGTGAATGGTTATACCCTACCTTGTTTGTCTTCTACTGGTGAGGTATCGGGGGCTGGGGACGACGGTGGGGTAGATGGTATTGAGGGGGCATGTGCCTGAAACAAGAGTTATATCAGCTTTAACATTATCATTCCAACAGAAAACAACAACAACAAATGTATTAAATGAAAATATGGGTCATTGGATCAAAATCACATTGTGGAAAGAAAAATCTAATCTGAGCTTAAAAGATGATAATGATGAGGATTTTTTTGGGTTGGGTTTTACCTCACACCAACACAGTATAGGTCATATGGTGACTTTCCAACTTTACTGATGGAGGAAGACCTAAGGTGCCCTAATGTGCATTATTATAGCTTTCTTACATGAAAAAGTCCAAAATCCCTGTCGGGATTCAAACCCGCAGTGAGAGGAAAGTGGTTTGAAGTCAACGACCTTAACCACTCAGCCACTTTTATGATTAATATCAATGACCAAACCACCATATAACTCCCATTAAAGGATACAGGCCTATAGAAATTACTCCCACTCAAATATGTAAGAAATCAGTCAATAACATGTTACAAGTAACCAGGAAGTAAGTGTCACCAAAGAATAGAAAGAAGGCTGTCAACTATATGTCCCTCCAGAAAATTAAATTGTTTGGGAAATACCCTTAACAAAGTTATTCAATGAAATATCAGTACATTTCATAACAATACATTCCATCACTATGTATCTGTACATTATGTACTATAGACTGTAGAATTTAACTATAGATTATGTAAGATGATTGATATATGAACAATTTTGTATACTGACTTTATTTATACTCTAATAAAAGACTTTTCTTCTTTAAAAATGTCAACATAAAGACTATAAATAAGGTAATATATCAACATACATGCGTCAAAGCTGTAATAAAGTTCCTATTCAGGTGTATAGCTTCATATAATGCTAGCAGAACAGAGTCATTGGCTCTGAAAAAAAGTAAGGAAAATATGATAAATAGATTAGTGTATATAAATTTATATTTATTAACTCTCTTAGTTTAATGCAAGTAATCTAAATGAAATCATAAATAACAAGGACTTTTACACAGGCTGAACTAAAAATGACATGATTACTCTAGTAACAAAATGGAATTTGCTTAAAATTACAACAAAAACTTTATTACTAGTCAATTCTAGTTTACCAAAGACAAAACACATTACAATCAAAGGGAGACAATCCAATGAAAAAATAAAAACTTTTAATTTTACTTATTTGTGTCAAGTCAACTTCATTACATATGATGACCAATCATGATTATATTGTTATGCTGAATTCAGCTTTATGCATCAAACTTGTGAAACAATTCTACAACAAATTTGACAGTTTAAGAATGCTGAAATTGTGACCAACTTACCTAACAGCAGCCATTTCTTTCTCCTCCGCTACAAACATATTTCCAACCTGAATATAAACAAACGATTCTTTATAAATACTATAGTTTTTATTTATATATTACAATTTATTTATATCATACATTCCAAACACTTATCAAAGAAAGAAAGTTCAAATATAACAGACCAAACAGTAAATGTTATGAAATAAGATCGAGTTTTAAACAAATCATGTAATGCCAAACCGAAAAGTCTCCACATGTGTATTCTTAATAATATTTACAATATTCTTTTTAAACAACAAAACATGAACATATACTTTTACTGTAGAAAGCAAACAAATTCTTTGGTACATAATCACAAATAAAATAAGTTAGTGAATTTCCTATTACCTCCCTTTAAAAGACATAATCACACTAAAATGACATTTTTACCCTAAATTTTTAATAAAAATACATAAGATACAGTATATTGATACCAACCCATTAAAATACATCATACAAAGAAAGAAATTAAAGACAATTATCCACCTTAAAACTTGACAGTTAAAACATTTTTCCACTGGTATATATATAAATATTTTACGAAGCAATTCAGATCCATCTTGGTTCAAAACAAATGATGAGAGGTTAATCTTGTTACTATACAAGACACATGCAGCCCACAGTTACGACACTGAGCATGTTACCTATCTGATAGAACCTGGATCTTTATTAATATATTCAAATGTGCAAAGTTTCAATCGTACATGTGAAGCCATTTTGTTGGTTATACAAATATACTCAAATGTGCAATAACACCAGAAATAATGAACAGAATGCCCAAAATCTACACCCACTAGTTAAGCATACTCCTCTGGTCTTAGTAAATCTGGGTTTGTGATAAGAAACATATGCATATTTACCATGCTAGCTAGAGTAGAAAACCAACCAGTCTGCTGTTCTGAATTTCTTATTTTATAATCCCTGCAAAAATATACACATGTTATTTAATACAAATATAAATTTACCAAAATTTTGTTATTCTACATTTATTCAATAAAACATTGATAAATATATATTGGGTAAATGCATTTAAAATTAAGTTTACCAGCAATGTCCTTTTGCATTTTGTAATTATCATGATTGAATAGTTCCATTTATATTTCAATGAAACAAAACTAAATGAAATATGAATGAATTTTACAAAAAAGAAAGATTTAAAATACTCACCTGTTAAAATCAGACAATGCCACTGAAACCACCTCAGCATAACCCTGTAACATATATATGGGTATATGATAATGATAAAAAAAATCATTCAAAAAAACATCAATACTAAGTATCATCCAGCCATTTTCTATCACATTATCCAGCCATTGTATAATGTACAATATTTCCCATTTACAAGTTTAAATAAATCCAGCACTGGTTGAAAAATGGGTCTGTGCAGAAAATTAAACTCCTGTACAGCATTTAGTTTATGACAATGATAAGTCACTATACATCAATTTAAAATCATTTTATATTTTGTTTGTCACTATTTATAGCATTACAATTTTTTCCTTTTTGTATACTATTTTAGACAAGAATCATCTCTAAACCCATGGTGTTGTACACTTAAATAATTTTACCAATAAAGAAATGGTAATGTTTCACATCAAATGTTGATGAATCAATTTTAAATTTTTTAATTTAATCACATAAAAAACCTAAATAAATAAGAATCTAAATATTGTTTACTTACTTCAGAACCTTCATAAGTTCTAAAAAATATCATTATATAGTAAAACCTCTCTGAAACCACAAAGGCTAGAGCTTAGATATTTGGCATGAAACATTGTCTAGTGGACCTCTACCAAGTTTTTCTTCTTCAAAGTATAGACCTATGGTCAAAACTGGCCCCATCCAGGGGGGTCACAGGTTTTCCTTACATGTATAATGTCAATATTTGTACACAAGAAACTGAGATATAAAGGAATTGAAGACAATAAAGACTTACAGTTAGAGCTAATTCATCGTCCAGTATGGATAACTTCACAATATATGGATTTGCAGACTGAAATAATAACAAATATGATGAAATTTCAAAATCTACATCAAATCAATTATATATATTTATATTTGTTGTTTCCTTCTGCCATTTAGTAGAAGATTTTAAAAGGTTACTTGTTATAAAAATCACCTGTATGATAAGTTAATTGATTTTGTTTTAATGCATTATGGTTTGTTCGATTTGAATTTACGTCACACCAAACACAGTATAGGTCATATGGCAACTTTCCACATTTCCTGGTGGAGGAAGATCTCAGGTGCTCTTCCGTGCATTATTTCAGGCACAAACAGGCACCTGAGTAGAACTACCCACACTCTGTCAATTATATACATATATATAGATTTAGATATAACAATTCTCAGATAAAATTCCTAGAATTATATAAATTCAAAATTAATGTAACAAAAAGAATATTAGCAACCTGTATAAACTGTCCAATATTCTATACATACAATCAATCTTTCTATACTTTCTTACCTCATAAAATTTTTCTTTATGTTCATTCACCTTAGATTTACTTTTTAAAATCACCATATATTTCCTATATTCATTTACCTCATATTTCTTGTGTTTAATACCCTCATATCTCTTATATTTGTTTACCTCAAATTTCCTATATTTACCTTGCATTTTCTCTATTTATTTACTTTCATAATTCCTGTATTTATTTTCATCATATTTCTTATATTTATTTACCTCATATTTTCTGTATTGTATTTATTTCCCTCATATTTTCTGTATTGTATTTATTTACCTCATATTTTCTGTATTGTATTTATTTACCTCATATTTTCTGTATTGTATTTATTTACCTCATATTTCCTATATTGTACAAGCAGTGTAAGAACTAGTATAGCATCAACACCAAGTGTTTGCCTGGATACAGGATTAGCTAATATCTGTACCAATGACTCATACACACTGTTTATCAAGATGTACTCTAACAATGTATTCTGACTGATGTTGTCCGTTACCTATAAATAAATCAATTCTTACACACTTAATCAATGATATTTTTTTTCAAAGCAAAGTATTGTAAATAAATATTGTCAAACTCATAAAATATCCTGCGTCAAACTTACTATACATAACAGAAAATATAGGAAACAATATGGCAGCATTGTTTCACTGTAATATGAATTTGCACATTTCACCCTTCAACTATTTTGACGGAGACATTGCCTTTACAATCTGTTTATCCATAACTGATTATCTAAGGCCAAAAAATAAATATTATTATCTTTATATTGCAAAAACTTTTATGTTTTGTGTCCTGTTACAGTAAATTAAATCTATTTTTCTGAGGCATAACATCCCTTTCAGTCATTAATAATCAAAATTCCCTATTAATTACAGATAAGAATTGCTCTATGAATTACTCATCATTATCTAAAGCATAAAAATAAATTATCAATTAAACAATAAACAAATCCAATGTTACCTTTAAGTTACATACTTACAGATGCTAAAACAAGTAAAAATTTCAGGATCAGCTGTTTTAATGCAATAGGGTAGTCTCCATTTAGAAATCTGTTTACACTTTCTATCAATGACTGTAAATATAAAAGAATGGTTCAACAAACAAAAGATTCATTCTTGTATTACCACCAATGGTTTCTTTTAGTGATTTAACTAAATCATAAACACATCGTATCAATACATAAGCAAAGGATAATAAAAGCAGTGACAATAATGTTGGTATGTCAACTGTCCTAAAGCAGCAGCATTTTTTGTATGTCATAAAAAAAGCTTTTTTACTTTCAAAATGTACATACTTTGGAATTCACCACCTTAATTATGACTGTATAAAATTTGGACCCAAATTTTCCTGCACCTCCTTGACTTAAAAAGGTTGGTAGTGAGCTTTTTCTGTTAAATGGAAATGTGTCCATAGGTCACAGATGCCTCAACATTCCACTATTTTTGCAGTCTACAGATGGCAAGCGAGACAGTGGAATAGATAATAAATGAACAAGTTCAAGTCTATTTGTATCCTCAAAGTAAAATTTACCATACAAGGCAGCTTCTTTATTTAAACACACCTTAAAATTATGCAAATAAAATCTGAATGAATGGCAGCAATTAACCAAACCTGAATAACTGCTTCAGCTGAGTCAAAACCAATTATAATGTTGATTACATCAAAACCAGAGTCCTTCAATGTCTTCTTGCAAATACCACGAACAAGGGCACACAATGTCTGATTAAATAGATGAATATGCTGATAAATATAGTCTGAGATCAAATATACGATATTTGAAATAAATCATAACATTATTGGCATAAAGACATATTCTTGTCTCCTTGGTATGAAGATTGATTCTGTAATTTCATGAATAATTTTTACTCTTGGCAACTTTTCAGGCACCAATTAAAATATCACTAAAAGAAAATCTCTAATATGCTTAGATTGTGTAAGTTATTCAAATCTTACACATTACCAAGCAATTAGGTTATTAGTTTAACTCTGATTTTTTTGTCGAGAGGTAAAATATACCATTAAGTTTATTAATGAATGGATTATTTTATTACTGGACACAGAGGTGTGTTACAATTGTATCAGATAATGTACATAAAAAACTTTTAATTACATCATAATCTGACCAAGACCTTATCATTTTTCTAAACTTAGTTTTTTTATAAATAAACAAAAGAGCATTTCTAGTTTTGACAATGAAACCCAGCAAATAACGTATACACTACTTACATGTATAGCATTGGCAGTTCTAATTGGATTGTCCTGTTTTAGTGTTTCTACAGCTTTCAAAAACATCAGGTTAAAATTATCCTGAAAATATATAACATTTAACATCATTTTAGAATACAATATGAAACAGGAAATAGTGAAATAATGCATTATAATATATGACTTCATCATATTTCATATGAATATCTTCAGTAACTAGTAATCAGAGTTACAACAACATTATTTTTTTCTAATTGATGAAGTTTACTTGAACAATAAAATTTTAAATCTATTACATAAAATTAGAAATAGAATCTTGAATATTCCACAGAACATAGAAGTTAATGTTTTTTGATTGTCAGAATCAGATATTTAAAGTGAAATATTACAATTGTGCAGAAAGTATATAGTGTGTGTGAACAGACAGCTGGTCTGTGACTGATGATGGTTTTCACTGATCACATAGGTAGAACAAGTTGCCACCAGCAACCAGTGTTTAAGGAAACTACAGGAAATCATATGAACAATATTATATATATTGTATTATACAGGTATATATCAAACCCAGTGAAAATAGAAATAATAAACTTAAATACTTTTCCTATCATAGTTGTTCTTGTTATTTTTTTTGAATTCAAATATGTCATTATCTAGTACCTACCTTCAATGAAGCAAGTGCTTCCCCTGACAGCTTCTCACATTCAGACTCTAAGAAAACTGTATTAGCCTAAAATGGAAACAAGTTAACAAAAAATATATATTAAGGACTCATTTTTTCACTGGATCTAATCTATAAAATTTAATATATTTAACACATCATGTATGCATAAATTTATCAGAAAAAAAAAATATGATATTATGCATCATGAATGTACCTGACACAGTTTTACTTATCTGAATGGATTTACAATATACAAGATTTTATATCTACCCTATTATAATGTTTAAAACTTTATACAAAACACAGTTTTCTTTAAATTTTGAACAAAACAACTTACCTTCAGCAAGAAAAATTCATCCCAAAAATTTGGATTACCAGCTGATGGATCTTCACCCTAGGATACAAATCAATAAAAAAATTAATTTTTGGTTACAAGAAACCACATATTATAAAACTTTCACTCAGTTTTTCTTTCTATACCTTTAAACTATCATGCTGATAATTACAAACTGATAATTATGATATTATTCTAAAAAAGTTAAAAATCACTTTTGAAAATGGTTCATTATTGTTTGGATTTCTTACCTGGAAAAAAGCTTCATAAATTATTACAATCTTCTCCTTCAAGGCCATCTTGCTTGAGGACCCCTTCCGTAACAATACAGAGTGGCCCTTCTTGTCTCCTTGACCAGACTCTTGGCTCATTTTATAGTGATCTGAAATATTAACAAAAACATGACAACATGCTCCCATTTTCAAGTCCACAGGGACCTAAATATTGCTGCAATCAATTCACTTCCCAAAAGCGAAACTTGTGCCAAGTTGTATTAAAATCCCTCAATGCTAGAGATGGTTCCATAATACAATTACATAGATGAATTGTGATAATTCATTTTATTATTGAAAAGATCAAGTCACATTATGATGATACAACATAATAAATATATACATGGGTGCAAGTTGTAAATTCGAACAAAAAACACTGAAAACCTTTATTCACGATCATTTTCCTACATAATCTAATAGTAAAACATAATGAAATTTGTCACAAAAAAACCTGAGCTTCAGGCATATGCCAGAAAACTTGCACCCATGTAGATATAAAACAGAATGGATATTAACTAAATGAACATTACATCCCTTTTAAATAAACTCTACTCAATACAAGACTGTATCAGTTTTGCTGTGGACAAGCATTTCCTTCAAAGACCTTGACCTTTGACCTTCAGATTTATTTTATGAACGCTATGCTACATGTATGTCCAATGATGTTGAACATAACAAGTTGGGTGGTGCCTTTTGGTATCAGAGAACCAAATTTACCCTGAAAATGCTAATATTTTTATTTTCTTCAGGAAATTTATAAGTATCATGGCTTATTCATATTTAAGGCATATTACCATGTTAGTTGTTACCCATGTTTACTTTGGTCAAAATTGACTAATTTTAATCATTGAATCGTTATATATGTATACCTAATAAACCAAGTTTTCATGCAAAATATTTTACTATACTTCCATGTTAGTTGTTATGATTTAATCCTCTTATTTAATTAAATATCTTATACAGCCGATAAACAAATTGCGCCATACAGTGCGCGAAATCGGATTGGCTAATTTAAATGAGTCAGAAGTTTCTAAAGGAATATCTTTTTAACGAAATAATTGCCCATGCACCGTCAGCGTGTTTGAATATATTTTTTCCTTCAAAAACTTGGAATCAATCTGTAAAGCGCTTTACTTAACCAGTATGGCAGATAGACAAAAATAGATTGATGTTTTTATTTTATTTTAAATTGATTGGAGAGATTTTGTTAATGATTGAGCATGAAATTGAAAGAAAAGAAGATAAAGTTGTGGTCTCCCTTACTCCCGGCAGAGCCCAGGACCATCAAGGTAAGTTACCTGTGAGTTACCGGGATGATCCGGGGTGAATAATTGTTGCGGTCACACTAACCCCGGCAGCACTACGGTAATTCCCAACTAACCACACAGGATGCACTCCGGATCATCAAGGCAGAGCCCAGGTGAAGCTATGGTTAATGCCGGTGCTTTCCCGGTCGATACCTGATGATGCCAAAAGAGCCCCGGTTGACCCAGCCAGAGCCCCGGTCGATCCAGGCTGAGTCCAGGACGATCCAGACAGAGCACCGGTAGAACCCCGGTGGATTGAAAACGCGCGAACATGATTACATTGATACATAATTCATGATGATTTGCTGAAAAATCTTTTGCAAGACTGGATAGAAGGGAAATGGTAAGGGTTTTAATACAAAAAAGTGCAATCATTGCAAATTGTAGTGATTCTTTTTAAATGAACCGGGCTTTATCGGGGCTCTACCAGGATCAACCCTAGCTCCATCGTCATCCTCCGGGGCTCTGCCGGCATTCATAGGGGCTCTACCAGCATTCACCAGGCTCTACCGGCTATATCATACCCAGATTTTTTGCATTCTTTATAATGCTATGCGTTTATGAACAAAAACTATTAGACGTCAGGCTTGACTGACATAAAACTATAACAAGTCTGTAACGTCAAGTTTATTAGACTACCCCAACACCAGTGTTTTGGAGTTTGGAAATATGTAGATACTTACATTACTTAGTTCTTGAAGACTTGATATAGAAAGGTTATTCAAATATAAATTTTGCCGTCTACACAATGGGGTAGTGTATTAAATATGGCATTGTAAAGTATTTGATTAAACCGGGCAGACGTTTCAACATTTGTTTTTGACAATCGTGTCAGAAATTTCTGTCATGGATAAATTCCGAACTTTCCGAATGCACAATCGGAACATCTCGGCTATAATTTTGTGACAGCTATCTAAACGGGGTATGGTTAAAGGATGCGCTATATCAGGACCGGATCCACAAATTTTTGACGGGTGGGGGGTGCTTGTGTTTGAAAGTCAAAAAAACCCTCCCCCTTGTAGGCGGTCTGGGGGTCCTCCCCTAGGAAAAAAATGAAATTTACATATTAAATGGTGGCGTCTGGACATTTTGAAATGAAAATTCTACATTTTTTTTCACAAAGTTTCCGACTTTATTAAAATTATGTTGAAATTGCATTTATTTTTGCAAAAGTCAAAGAAAAACAACTTAATATTTACTGATTTCTATGGTAAAACTATTAAAAAAGGATTTTCCAGACAGTCAGGCAGATGCTTTTTAAAATTGGTCCTGCTATAGAAAATACTTCAATTGTATAGAGGTATAATTTGACCTACTGTTGTTTACATCCATTTTCAGTAATGAGTGTTAATTAAATCGTGAGCTTTTGGTAACTTATTTAATACATAGAATTTATGTACATGAAACTATCAAAATGGCGGTACGGGACTACTTTCTTTAACAAATCTAAATATCACTTGATATCTTCAATATCTTATCACATGTTTTAATATAACCTCTAAATTTACAGTTTTACTGATAGTCACAGTGTGAGGAGGCGGTTGAGAGAGTTTATGCAGGTGTTATTTATAATTGTGGACAGTGCCATACACTGGTGAGTTAAATTATTGTTATTGTACATGTATGATGTGACTATATTGTTTTTAATAGGTGATAACTTTATTTGTAAATTGTAATATTCAACCTTCTATGTTAAGGTTTAGTTAATAAGAGTGTAAGCCACTAGATTCCACTTACTTTATATGAAAGGTATCCTTTAATGTTTATGTATTATTTATTTGAGAAGATGAATGATTTCTTTCAGAGATTGTATTGTATTGCAAGTTATAAAGTAAGGATTTGTAATGTATTTTACAGGTCACCTTGTTGTTAATCACCTTGTATCATACGTTTGGAGAGGAGTAGTTTGTGAAGTGGAATGGACATGATCATGATATAAAATATGTGTAACATATCAGGTGTTTTATATATACAGTATAATAATATTAAGTAGAACTGCTACATGGTGTTTCTTTTTATGTTTTGGATCCTTTTAAACAACCAGAACCTAACCAAGACAACATACAGTGTTTTGACTGACGGGAAACCCAGCAGAGGTCCAGGCTCCAATATACAAGGATTTAGCGACTTACATTTATCTTAAGTCAGTTTTTGCTAATATTTACCCGCAATATGCTATATTTGATAGATTTTTGTAGGCCAAGGTGTTTGAGGGGCTTTAGCCCCTTAAGGCCCAGGTGGATCCGGGCCTGCTATTTCGTGTATGTATGGTCTGGAGGCTAGATTCTCATCCAGAATAAAAAATATCTCGTACTTTGGTTTTGGTATATCAAAATGTTATAATTTTATCATGCGATACATTATCTGCTCATGAAAAGTTTATATATATATATATATATATATTAAACTTTCAAATGTTTGTTGATATGTCATTGAATACGGGTTTTTAATACAGCAAAAGATGTATTAGGAGTGAAGGGTCGGTATACTTTGCAGAGAGACTTTGCTGACAAGTTAAACATGAGGGATTTGCAGCATATTGTAATATACATGTACATATTTATTTACACTGTCCATGGTTTTAATTGCAACACAGAGCTATATTCAAGTCTCTGATTGCAATTAAAACAGTGCACTTTTAATACGTTCGCTGCAATCAAAGTATAAACTATACTGTAAGTGACTGTGTCTTCTTTACTAACATAAAAAAAAATGCTATTAATTAAAATCCGGCCATATAACATTATACTTAGACAAATAATGCAACAGAGAGAGTTTTTATTGTCAAGTGGTGAAGTAAAAAGAAACAAACAAAAAACAACAACAACACCCCCACCAAAAAAAAACATGGTGTGTTTATAAACGTTTTTTACTAAGATTTTAACAACAGGGCTGATATACCGTTGCTTATTAAACTTTTCTCTTGTTTGACTTAAATTCATAGCAAATACCTTTATTTGAAGTTTAACTTTAATTTGTGGCCGTAATTAAAGAAAAGAACTGTACTGTACGGTAAATTGATACTGTACTGTACCTTTATTTATCATTGCCTTTTGTAAATTTTATTCCGTGAATCTTGGTGCTGTGAAATGTAGATTACCATTAGATTAATACATGCAAATAAATTATATAAATTTAAAATGAGAAGAAAACATAAGTTCCACGGACACCACATCATAACCGAAAGAATGAAAAAGAAAATATTATTTACAGTCGAAATTTGCATGAAAAAATTTGGAGCTGGGTCCGTATTCAATATACATCATAATATTATCTTAAATTATTGCTCCTTGCCATTGGTTCTTGTTGCTGGGTCATATGGGGGTTGCGTTCATTGAACGCCGCCTTTCCTTGTTGATCTTGTTTATCATATTTTATCCTTATATATGACCTTATAAATAAGAAAATCTTAAAATCAGCGTTTTTTTCTAAGAAAAATCTTAAGTGATATTTAAGAAACATCTTATCTTAAGTTTTTCCTTAAATATACGATTTATCGGTTTTCCCGCTTTCTGTTATCCCATACACCGGTTTTACGGTTGTACGTGATAATAGCTTGGAAGTCACATGATCCATTCGTCATAAAATGGCTGCCGATTAAATTTGAATTTGTATCAGTGCGACGTAAAAAGATTGCAAGTTTCTTTTGCAAAACCTATTCAAAAATGGTTTCTGCAATTCTTTCGAGAGTAGTTATGTAAGTATTGATTAAGACTTTCAGACTTTTATATTTGTTCACAATATTAGATAGAAATTTGAAAATTTGTTGCTATGTTTTTGTTGTTTTTTACTTTGCCTTTTGGCTTTTAAATTTTACAGTTTTTGCTGTACCCCACCACAAAGTTTGATTTTTTATGACTTCTTAAACAAAATAATGTTGAATGTTTTGCAGAAGGTAAGGTCTTAAACAGTTATAAGACATAGAATCTTTGGTAGCAAGACACTTCACCCCCAGACACTTCACCTCCCAAAATCAGTAAGACACTTCACCTTAATATGAAAAAGGCAAAGCCACAAAGCGAGCTCGATGTACTTTTAACGTGAAATAGTATGAAATAATCGCTCATTTTTATTTCAAATGCAGTGACGAGTGCATGTGACGTTACACGTACTGTGTTAAATATGGCTCCGCCCCTGTCGTTAAATGAATAACGACTTTTGACAATGTTGATAAAACTTTGTTTATTTTATTTCACTCTATAATTTTTCAAGCGAAATAAAGATTCTTAAAAGTGAAATAAATGTAAAACTTAAAACGTTTGTGACATTAAAATAGCGTACTTGATTTGTTTGTTTTGCACGTGCTGTTTGGCGCTACATTGTGACGTCACGTAAACAATATTTTAAACGTCTGTACAGCGTTAACGACTAAATAAAAGATATTGGTGTTCGGATTCATTTTCTTAGTTAGACCATTTTCTTTCATTCTAGATAGTTTTCACAACAAAATTCGACAAAAAATTGTTTTTATTTATCAGATTTTTCAAACAAAATGGCGCCTTCAATTTTCATTTTACATTTCCGTTTTAAAACTTTCATTGGATATTTTATCGACAGCTTCCGTTATTCTGGTTTCCTGTCCAATTATGGTTCCCATAGACGTGCGCGGGTGACCAGTCTACACATCCATTTTCAGTCAGAATTCCTCAGTTTTTATCGTTATCTTTAAATTCGAAAGGTTGCGATGTGTCCAATTCGGTACTTCGGACGAAAGTTTTCAAAACCATCACTTAGCAGGTACTCGCGTTACCGTAAAGCTCGCTTTGCGAGCAGGCCCTTCGGGCCAGCTTGTCGAGCTCGCTATTATTATATCCAATTTTTTTCTATAAAATAAATAAGCCAACAAAATAATGCTTTTATGTGTTTATTTTAATTATTTTTAGTATTATTTAATTAATAAGTTTTTAATTAAAGGACAATTTACAGACTTTTCTAAGAGTGCTGGTCAGGGACCACCAACCGGACACTTTTTTAACATTTTTCCATACAGATTTTAATATGAAAAAGGCAAAGCCTGAAAGCAAGCTCGATTTTTTTTTACCGTAAGATAGTTTAAAATAATCATCCATTTTTATTTTACATTTTCCGTTTTAAAATTGTCATTCGGTATTTTATACACTGCTTCCGTTTATTCTGGTTCCTCCTTTCTATTATTGTTCCTATATAAGTGCGCAGGACACCAGTCTACGCTTCCGTTTTCATTCAGAGTACATCGGCTTTTATTGTTATCTTGTAATTCAAAAAGTTGCGATGTGTCCAATTCGGTACTTCAGACGAAAGTTTTCAAAAGGTACTCGCGTTGCCGTAAAGCTTGCTTTGCGAGCAGGCCCTTCGGGCTAGCTCGTTGAGCTCGCTAAAATGTTAAAGCTAGAGATTTGAAAATTTGACACAGAACTGCTAGGTTCTTCTCATAACTAACAGACTAGTTTGTTTATTTCTGGTTATGTTGACATTTATATCTGAGGCCTGTGAAGGAGGGTATCAAAATTACCTAAATTGTCCACACATCAGTACCATGTGTCCGGACAGATATGTCCATGATGCTGATTTAATTTAATAAAAGCTTTGGTGTTTTTATTTTTCATTTTTAATGTGATATAAAATATTTCAGCAGCAAATGCTGAAGTTTTGGATATTCTGTTATTTACTTTGCAAATGATTATAGATAGTATAAGAGGTCAGGTAATACACTCTTGGCGTCCAAATTTTCAATGTCAACGTTCTTGAAAAAAAAAATATTACCATGAACGAAAATTGAAATAAATTTACTTACTTAATTATAGACCAAACATGCAGTCACTGTTGATATAAAAGCGACTGAACCACTGAACAAATAAAAAAAAAAATCATGCATTTTAAAGGTCGTCAGGGTTTGGTGGTCTCCAACCAGTAAATATTTGTTTAGTAAATAATTCAGAAACAAAAAAACATGTAATAATTTATTTAACTCATTTACATTTAACATGCAATAAAACATAACATTTTACTGGTTCAAAAAACCACATTTCTATAAAAGTCCATAAATTCATCCACTTTCTGACGACCTTTTGATTGAGACACTTCACCCCCCCCCCATTTTGTGTTAAACATTTATTTACCGGGTATGTAGAAAATGTTTAATGTATTCAATGTTTTCAATAGTGAGTATGTTTATTGTTTTAACATATTTTATTATTTTTTATCATGGAATTGACCAAAGACAATGGATATATTGTTGTTTTTGCCCTACAAAAAGGCTCGTATCACAAAGTTATAAGTAGGTAAATTCTTTACTTTTTATTTTATTTTTATTTTTTATCGTCAGGTCTCCAACCAGTTAAACTAGGGATCTACGCATACTTTTTCAAGTAGTTACATATAAAGCATAGAAAATAAGGCAGTAGTCCTTGCAAAATTCTAAGTGTTAACTTTATTAGGAGATTAAACAATATGTGCTTTAACATTTGACTATAAGTTTAACTAAGTCAGGGCAATGCTTTAAGATGCATGTGAATGGATCAATAGACTTTATGGGAGATAGTAGCCTTTGACTTCATGTGATCAAAATTAGTCAGTTAGGAGGAACTATATGATTTTAACAATTGATTAAGTTTCATGATGTCTGATTGGTGTCAGGTGTTGATATTTAGGTTCTAGCCATCAGGTTATCGCATGTTGTATGAGACAAATCTTCAGTTATTGTGGTATGATTGTGTCATTTGTGGCTTTAGTTAGTGGCGTATACCTTTGATGTTGTTTGTTGAACAAGGAGTTGATAAGGGAGAAGGATTATTGGGCATCTTTTTTTTTTCTTTTAACAGTAAGAAACATGATTTAGATTACTTGCAGTAAGTTATAACAAAAACTGAGAACAAAACTAATTTAAACAGTCAAATACTGATGCTGTATTACAGGTGTTTATTTTTTCAGTTGCAAACACAATAAATAGTTGAAATAAATAGGAAAACAAACTCTAATTAGCATATTAATCTATATTAAACTTGCAAAAAGTGAAACTAGAAGTCTAACTCCATTGCCAATTTTTCCAGAATACTATCTGCATTAGAATTCTTGGACTGTCATATATTTCAATGAAAATATTTGCTGTGTTAGACACCATTCAAGGGTTTAAACTTTAAAAAATATATGATTTGTTTGCTTTTAAACAAAAAATCAATTGTTGATTGATGTGAATTGAACTTAAAATAGAGATGTGTTGCCCGAAATAGATTGATTTTGGATGTAAATTATTCAGACATGTAATTATTGATTAGGAAAAAGAAATTTAAAATAAAGTATTTTTTTGTCTTAACCTTAACACTGATATAAACACTCATAATTATTGTTTAGAGGGCAGGGAAAATATTTGAATGATGGCCACGGTAAAATATATCATTACCACAGACATGGTGATATTTTTGAACTTTTGATATTTCTCTGTCATTGTAATTCTTTCTTCCTTAACCAAACATTTCGGTAGCTTTGTTTGTACTTTTGACTCTCCTATTAATGGAGGTGAAAAAGTTAATAAACTAGCATTGACAGTTGGTGCCAAACAAGTAAGAAACTTGGATAAATTTTGTGAAAAATCTAAACATATGACTGGCAGGTCATTGGATATTTTTGAAAATGCCATTGATTGCACTGTGTGTTAGTGATGTTTCTAAAGGGTGAAAACTGGAGTATCCTGTACCTGCATGAAGATGGCTCATATATATATGTATGGTGTGATTTTTGTTGTGGGGGTAAAATTGCTGTCAGTCAATAATTAAAGGAGCAATGCATGCAAACTATAATTTTCTTCAATGTATATATATATAATATCCTTGAATAATGCTGTGTAACTGAATATCTGTGATGTAAAAGTTTGTTTTTGTGATATTTTGTTGTGTTCCATGACTAACAAAATAAGGTTAAAGAATAAGTGTAAAGAATAATAAGATATACACATTTATGGAACTATTTAGCTTTTTACTTCTGTTTTGATTTTGTAAACACATGTAAAAGGTAATAAATTACATTGATTTAGATGTGTAAGCTCTATTGAAAACTCTTTTTTTTTTCAAATAAAAGTCATAAATTACTTAAATGCAAAACTGGCAGATACTTCTTAAGCTCATATTGCTTACATATTCTCCCCTTCAAGCAATCACAGTGTACGGAATTCTGATTTGAAAATGAATCACTAGGCTGGTTGGACTAGCAGATTGAAATTTCACTAGCATGGAAGATATTACACTAGCACAATTCATTTGTTCTAAAACAGTTGTTTAAATTGCCTTTAAAATATGGTAGCCAAGTCTGGCTTTTTACTGCGAAATATTGGTAGCCCAAAGAGAAATTCGGTAGTCACAGGCTATCAGACTACTGCTAATTTCAGTATTTCAAGCCGAGCCAATTGCACAGTAATTTTAATTTTTTTGCAACATGCCCTAAGAAATTCCTGACTTACATGACTGTGGGCTAGAACCCTGATAAAAAGTGATATTGATAATTAATATGGACAGTACATTGTGTTGTGGATAACATAAAAAGACTGTGCAGTGATAATGACTAGTGTGATGCAAAACTCAAATGGCCAAGAAAAGACATTACATTGTTGGCTGAAATTGAAGCCTAATCAATATCTAACTACATAAAAGCATTGTAAAGTAGTATTGTTCAATCAGGAGAAAACTGAAAAAAAAATATAACTTTGTATCATGAATATGACACTATTGGCTGAGATTTTTGCTTCATCAAGTTCAGAGACTCATTGTAGGAATTTGTTTTGTATGAAATAACTTTAAAATCAATTTAAAATAACACAAGAAAAGCTGAAAAATCATCAATTTTATGTCGGGACTTGACATAGTGATGGTTACAGAGAGCCATTCCATTATTTATGGAGGCATAGGTGTATTGTGAAGCAATTTGCTCTCGTATTATGTAAAATGTATCCCCTTCTCACTTCAAAATGCCTGGCAATAGACAGCCCTTAATATAATGTCTGCTTCCTTAGTACCAGCTGTTATAACCGTGATATGTTAAGGGCCAGTTACACAGACGGTCAGTCCCCAATCGGTCATTTGATTTTAAATTTACTCGCTGTTATGATCGGTTGTCATGCATGATTTTATTTCTGGTTTTCTGTGTTGACCGAAAGCAAACCCAAACGGGGTTGGATCGGTGGTAAAAATGCTGAAATATTATCGGTTTTGATCGTTTGTAAATCGGGCGTAACGCTGATTAATCGGTGTTTGATAGCTAGTCATCAGTGGTTTAACACTTTCTGTCAGATATGGCCGGTGATTCATATTCGGCGATATCGGTGATTAAGAGCTTGCATATCTCGTGATATAGGTTGCTGTCGGTTATTTGTAAAATATTTTCACCGATCGAGAATTTTAAACATGTATAAAAATCCCAATCAGTAATTTTTCACCGATAAAACTTATCTTTCCCCAATAGCTGTTGATAGGTGGAAAACAGGTGACCAATAGGTGATATTGGTGTCATCGGTTCACTCCATAATTTGGCTAAAAAAAACTACCGATCAATCACAGATGGCTCTGTGTAACTGGGGTGTTAGTATAAATGTTAAGTAGTTAAAACTATATACATGTACCTGTGTATTTATCATAAAATATAAAATTCTGTAGAATTTTACCTAAGAAAATTAACCAGTCAATTTTGAAAGGCTTAATGCAGCAGCTGTGCCACCAGATAAGATGCAATTCATCTCAATAGTACTGTCAGTGGACTTATGTTTGACTCTTATTTTGCACTGTGGATACTTTGAACTCTGATGTGAGGAGGCTATTCGGCTACATGTAGCTTACAGAATCATCATTGCATTCAGACTGAATGCAATGATTCCACTAAGGTAACATCTGGTGCCTAGAATAATGCACAAAGGGTCATGTAAGTTATTTCCTCTACTGGTAAAGCTAGAAAACTGTTACATAACCATTACAGTGTTGGTGTGACCCAACAGTATTTAATAGTCCATCTGCATGTGTAATAACTGTGAAAGATCAGAAAATCATATACAGGATCACAGGTAATGTAACCATGTCAGTGTTTTGACAGTTTTACTGCCTCCAGACATAAATCTGTTTAATCTACACAGTTACCCATTTTCAAAGAAATAATAAAGTTGCATGTCAATTCAATCAATGAAATTCTAAAACAATCACATTTTGACATCATTAGTCTGAAATTGATTGAAAATTTAACAAATTACTGAAGTAATGACTGTAATTAACTTCAGACTGACAGTAAGAAAGAAATTTTATCAAACACACTAACAGTCACAGATGTCTCAACAAGAAAGCAAAAATCTATTTCAACATTTGCTTGGCTGTAGTATATGACAAAAAACAACAAATAGCAATTTCCTTCAGCAGAATGTGTGATAAACGTTACAACTTATTTCTGATTGTATATACTTGTAGTGCATCAGCTTCTTGTTCTGTTTGTATTTTCTGTTGTTTAGCTTGTATTTTGAAGATTCACTGACTTCATAGTCTGAACTTTTTATTTTGTAAATTTGTAGTTACTATGCATAATTATGCTTCTAGGCTTGAACATGTATATTTAATAAAAAACAACTTGAGTATGGCCTTTACAAACCTGTCATAGAAGTAAAGAAATAGGCAGGCCCAGAGGCATATGTTTCATAGAATGTTTGTCTTGGTTGCCATTGGTGCAATCTAGAATAGGTTTATTTTATTAAATAAAACTTTAACATTTATTCTTGTGTGACTGTCTGAAAGTTTGTTAATTAATTTAAAGTATTTGTGACAGTGAAGTACAACAAAGTTGTGGAAGGCTGAACAAATCGTTTTTCAAACATCACCACAAGTCATAAATTATCACTGGTCAAAGAGATGACAATATTATACTCTAAATATTATTTATTTATCCCTAATGCTTGTCCCTTTTGTCACTTTACAGCAGATAAATTTGTTATTTGTTATTATTTTTGTAGGATTTTAAGTCTATTTCTATTCGCCTTGTAAGCAAAGTTTATACAAATACTTGCTTTGTAAGGATCTTATCCAAACCCAAATCAATTTTTTATCCACTTGCTATTTGCTGCCTATAGAAAACATTACTGCTTGATGGATATAATCCATTTGAATAGCAGGACTTGTACATTACAACCTGTCTGCCTGGTTAAATTAATGTATTAACATTTAATGTTATAATGAAAGGCCTTTTTGTTGTTTTTATGTTACATTTACCTGAGATTCAACCTTAATTCATGGTTTGATTTTTTTTGCTTGGTTTTTTTTTTTATTAGAAAATGTATTATAGATTGATTAAGACACTTGACTGCTGTTTTGTTCTGTCAAGAATTTAATTTATTAATTAGATTAATTAATTCTTGACAGACAAAAAAATGAAATAGAGGTAAAATATTGTGCATACATGTATTTATAGTTCTCTGCTCTATAGATTTACGTAATTAAGTATAATTTACTAAATGTAAAAATTGAGCAGTAATGACATTGATGAACATTTCAAATATAATGAAAGTTTTATTGTTATAAAGTTAGCAAGTAAGATGCACTTTAATTTAAGGTTATTTTTTACTGTATACAGGTGTTTGAGAAGAAAGAGTTGTATGTTTTATGATAAGTTTGATAATAAACAGAATGGTAAACAGCATTGTTGAGTCTAGTACACACATACACTTAAAACTATAATAAATCTAACATAATGCCTGGAAAATCTTCTGAATTATCAGGTTGTACAGGTAGCATTTATTTTACAGCGTGCAGTGTCCAACACCAGCTGCTGTACGATATACCTGTAGTAAATGTTCTAGAAAATATTTTCCCAGGGAGTTGCTTATGTACAGTCTAGTCTATATCTTTGTTGATGGATGCTTTTTATTATGTATCACATATTGTTACATATGTTTTTTTTTCTGTGTTGAGATGAGAAGATTATGTGAGTGTAGGGATATTGTGTAAGAGAGTAAATTTGTGTTGGTCCTCTGGAGCAAAAACTTGTGTTTATTGAAGATCTTTGGGTTTTTATTGAAGATCTTTGGGTAATTATTGAAAATCGTGTTGTGTAATTATCAGCTAAGACAGTCTAACTGTCTGGTTGTTATTGTTGTTGTATGATGAAAATAGTTAATACAGGATTTATATGACGGGAATAATTCAATGCAGTATTTGTTAAGCTGTGAGAGAAGATGCAGCTCTGAAGACAATCATTGTCTGAATAATTCATATATATGTTACATGTGTGAGACTGTTTTGACAAACCAGGAAATGACTTGAAATGTAATACTTAAATGGAGGTTGTATAAATTTACAACATGAATATGTAATTAAACTAAAGTTTTAGCAAAAATGAATGTGGAATTGCTTGTGAAATTTTAAGTGTTTACCATAAATGTTGAAGGTAGACAGTGTATGTATTGTATTGAGAAGTTTGTTATTACAATAAGCTTTAGGTAGATGGATGAGAATAACTGTTTCTACATGAGTGAACACATATGATAACACACATATGGAATGTTAGGATACTGTTTCTATAATATGATCATTAAATGCAATCATATAAGATCATACTGTGTGATTCATGGATTTTATATAACAAGAATTGATGTTTATGTGGGAGGTATCATTTAGATGTGAGGAAATAAGTCGATGCATGCAATATGCATTTTAGATATAAGATATTTTAGTTTTACACATTTATAAGGAATTTAAAAAAGCAGTGGACAGTGAGCCCTCAATTAAAAAGGACTTGTTACATTGTATATTTGATGAAAACGGGATTATTCAGTCTTAGAAGATATGACGGTATTTAATGTGGTGTAAAAGGGATATGGATCAACATTGGAATTCTTGTGAACTTGTTAATTTTATATTGAATGTAAAAATACTGTTTTTGTATTATTTTAAAGTGAAAACATAAGATAATATGGACTATGACATTTGTTAGACATTTCTGGACGTGCCTATGCTGGTTTGCACAGTTGGTATGGAGATTACCTAAGCGTTTCAAGTTCATTTTGACGGTTGTACTGGTAACTGTGTATGTTGACCAGTATGGGTCGGAGAATAGTATATATATTGGGAGGGTGATACATCGTCACGCAGTGTCCATTCTCCTGACCACCTTACATACATTAATACCTATTATGTACTTGTTTTGTAGACTGGTGTTCGGGACACTGTACCCAGCCTATGCATCATATAAAGCTGTGAAGACGAAAAATGTTAAAGAATATGTAAGTACCAAGATTGTATTATTATTAAGATTCAATTTTGTGTTTTATTGAGTGCAGGTGGTTTGTGTCACTACACATAATGACATGAACATAAGTATGTTAATTTCAAATCTTGCCAGGGCCTCCAGGGACTCTAAGAATAATTTCATGAGTTGCCTAAAGAAGGTTAATGATCTTTTATTGATAAGTGGCATATATGTTATGTTTGGTCTTCTTAAAGCTCTGCTGTAAACCAGGAAGTTTCCAGATGAGCTACAGGTACACTGTATAATGTATTACTGTATTGATATGACATAAAGCCAAGTTAAAACAAACAAATATAATTATATAAAGAAACAAGTAAAAATGACCAAGGTTTCATAGACCTGACAGACAGGTAAAGTTCCCTGCAACATGGTTTGAGCAACCTTGCTTCTTTTGGTTGATATTAAATTGATTTCTGGCTGGTATTTGTTTATTAATAATGAAACCTCAGTATGAAGTAAATTCATCAATTTACTACATTCATGCTGCTTAAATAAGATTTTCAACCATAGCTGTTAAATGAGTCTGAACCTTGCATTTGATTTACAAAATATCCCCTCATTCTTCTCCCCAAAAAGCAAAAAAAAGATCAGAAAAAAAGATATTCGGTATTAGGTAGATGCATTAGGGAAATCAGGAAATCTAATGCATTATAATGTAGAGACATTCTGTCCAGAAAACATTAAGGAATATTCAATATACAGCATGTTTTATTTGACAGGTTGGTTTAAACATATTTATTCGATATATTTACATTATGCATGATGAACAATATTAACAAACTATGACAGCTTATGAGTGTCCTCTCCCAAGTAAATTTCAATATAAAAAGTAAGGAAATAATGAGGAACTGTGGCATTGTTGTGTTTTACTATGGTAAACAGGATGGCTATTTGAGCATGACAACCAGTTGAAGAAAATAATACTCTTTGAGATAAAAATAGAAATTCGGAAATTTATGTGCAATAATGACTGAAGAAAGTACAAGTTCAGTTATATTTGATGGGTTGGTGTAGATTTTACTTGTATGTAATTAGGGCTGTCATTGAATATCGCGATATTGATATATCATCGATATTCATCATCTGATACAATATCTATACACATTTTCAAATATCGGTACAAGCTAAAATTTATTCATTTCTGTTAGTTAAAATATACCTCTCAATTGTGCCTAATAAGAGAAGTCACTTTTTTCCAGTTTTCTAGGCTAACTTGAACTTTAAACTCGGTTTTCAAATTTCAGTGACAAATAAACAGAAAAAAGAAACTTTCTGTTAGTTTGTAGTATTTGAGTCTAATACAAGCATGCATAACTCCATGATCCCAATTTATAACACACATTTAAATGTTTTTCATTGTATTTACTGTTAAAGTCGATATATTGATATATTGTCGATATTTGTCTCTCGATATATCGATTCAAAATTGTCCATCAATGACAGCCCTATTATAGATACTTATTTATGCTTCATATTTTATAAATGTTGTATAATTGTGTTATAAATAAGAATGTATTTATCTTACAGCCTGCCTGTAGACAACACATTCTACCTATATGATCAGTGCAGACCTAGATTAGCTTGCTCATCTTTGTTGTCTGATCATAGTCTCCACTGTTCTTTATTCCTTTAAATAGGACACACCATTTTGAATTACACTACAGTTGACTCTCGGTAACTCGAAATCCAAGGGACTGGGCATTTTACTTCGAGAGAAACGGACTTCGAGTAACATGGAACTACCGCTATTACGTTGACATTCGTACATGTATATACATGTGCCTGATTGAATGCGCAAAGAAGTAGGTTTGTTATTGTTGTTAGCGGCAATGCTGCAATATCTAACCAATGAAATGACGGTAAATCGCTCACAACTACAAATTATAAATTCAAAATTGAATACATGTATATTAATGTCAAACATAAACACGCAATTATATTTGATTTAATTGATCATCGGACGAAAACGAAATTAGCAACTATCGTGAACCGAAAGTTCACATTAATGTATGCAATATGACAGAACATTAATTATACATATGTCATTTACGTTGATAACACACACCAATACCTAGGCTTTTATTTGACTAACCCCCGTCAGACTGGCACGAGTAAACTTTCTTAAGGAAATGTTATCAAATTTTAATTTAATTAAAAACCAATTTAAAAACAATTAAGTCCTGAAACGGATTAAAGTCACTTTTACGACGTGTTAATAATACATGATGACCGGCAATTAAAAATTACAATCACGAGTGACAACATCTCACCTTGATGTCGCCGACCTTTGATCAGTCTGCTGTTTTCACACTTCGACTAATTTAGATGAAAATATGTTGGACTTTAATTGACGGGACCAAATTTTCTTTTCGACTAAACAGGAGTCTCGGTTAGTCAAAATTTGACCTAAGCGGAGTTAAAATACAAAGATAAAGAAGGAAATTTGACGGGACTTTAGAAATAATTCGACTAAGGCGGACTTTTGAGTAAAGCGATTTTGACTTATTGAGAGTCAACTGTATTTTGAATTTTCCTAAATGTCCAGATTGAAAGATGGACATGTCCATGTAAAATATATGTTCAGAAGATAGAATTATTATTTTCAGTAGTCTGTACTGTAGAGACACATTTTGGATCATTTATGACATTCAGTTACAGTAGAAGTCAGATCATTTGAGTCAATAAAAAGTCTTACAGTGTGAGAATTTGATAAGTAAGACATTAATTTAGTTTTATTATCCTTGGGATCCAAATACAAAATTGAGCCACTTATCTATGATATAAACTTTCAGAAAATTTGTGTTTCAAAATGGCACAGTGGGGCCTAATTTGATTGACCAGTCCAATGTACAAGATTAGATGTATTTATTTTGTGTTGTTGTTGTGTTGTTTTTTCAGGTAAAATGGATGATGTATTGGATAGTATTTGCTTTATTTTGTGCAGCAGAAACTTTTGCTGACGTGTTTCTATCATGGTGAGTGTTATATTATCTAAATAACCTTCAATTAACTCATAGGTTGGATCTATTATTTTCCCCCTATTCACCAGACAGCATCTATCTAACTTTGCTTTCATTTGGCAGAAAAATAATGATGTACATTTATCAAAGAACGTCAAAGAATTATATGATATGCATGTCAGTATTTATAAAAAAAAATTAAATCCAAGAATTTTATTCACTTAAGTTTTGGTTCATTGTTCACAATTTGATCAGGAAGTTTAGTCCACTCCTGCATAAGTTGACTTAAAGCAAGTAATTTTGTTTCATGTCTAATAAATGTCTGTAAAAAGGAAGTTGTTACTTACAAACTTTGGTAACTGCTTGCAAGCTCTATCACCATAACTGTTAAAGGTTTATACTGGAAACTTCCCTTAGTGCTGTAATGGTTATGTAGTAGGTATTCTCTAGAAACTTCACACATATAGATATGGTTATCATATCACATTTAAGTTTTCACATATCCTCATTACGATTGTAGGTCATTGAGACTAACTATAGTATTTGAGCCGCGTCACGACAAAACCAACATAATGGGTTTGCGACCAGCATGGATCCAGACCAGCCTGGCATCCGCGCAGTCTGATCAGGATCAATGCTGTTTGCTATTAGTTTCTTTACTTGTTATAGGGTTTGTAAGCGAACAGCATGGATCCTGATCAGACTAGATGCGCAGGCTGGTCTGGATCCATGCTGGTTGCAAACCCATTATGTTGGTTTTGTCGTGATGCAGCTCATTTAGTTTTACTGAATAAAATTTATTTCCCTTTTAAAGCTTTGAAACTTCCAGATTGAATCTATGTGTGCAAAAACTGTATCTTTAAAATCATTGAATGCATTTAGTTCACAGAGCTCATTATAGTTTTAAAGATCCTTATAAACTAACTACTAGTATAGCATTGATAATGATTGAAATATTTTATGTTATATGACATCCTAGCTCTGCAGCATCTCAGATAAAAAAAATATAAATATGTCATTTGGATAATCTTAAAAATATTTCTGGATTGAGTTCTAAAGTGATTTATTATGAATCAAGAGCATTTTTATCATCTGCTCTATAAAGATATATTGATACATTGCATCAAGTGGAAGATCATGTGTCTTTCACTTACCAACAACATCCATAATGATAATTATGTAATTTTTTCATGGTTTGTTTTCACTTATTATACCACCGCACAACAAAGTTGTAAGGGGGGTATACTGGAATCAGCTTGTCCGGACCTCTCCCCGTCCATCTGTCGGTTTTTACTTGTCCGCCCAATTACTTGAGATTCCTTTGGCCCACAGTCTTCATATTTGGCATGGAGGTTAGTCATAATTAGTAGATGACCCCTAATGATTTTGGGGTCACTGGGCCAAAGGTCAAGGTCACAGGGGCCTTGACTTTAAAAAGCTTGTCTGCCCAATAACTTGAGATTCCTTTGGCCCACAGTCTTCATATTTGGCATGGAGGTTAGTCATGATTAGTAGATGACCCCTATTGATTTTGGGGTCACTGGGCCAAAGGTCAAGGGCACAGGGGCCTTGACTTTAAAAAGCTTGTCCACCCAATAACTTGAGATTCCTTTGACCCACAGTCTTCATATTTGGCATGGAGTTTAGTCATGATTAGTAGATGACCCCTATTGATTTTGAGATCACTGGGTCAAAGGTCAAGGTCACAGGGGCCTTGACTAAAAAAACCTTGTCCGCCCAATAACTTGAGATTCCTTTGACCCACAGTCTTCATATTTGGCATGGAGGTTAGTCATGATTAGTAGATGACCCCTATTGATTTTGGGGTCAAAGGTCAAGGTCACAGGGGCCTTGACTTTAAAAAGCTTGATAAAAAAAATATAAATATGTCATTTGGATAATCTTCAAAAATATTTCTGGATTGAGTTCTAAAGTGATTTATTATGAATCAAGAGCATTTTTATCATCTGCTCTATAAAGATATATTGATACATGTCATCAAATGGAAGATCACATGTCTTTCACTTACCAACAACATCCATAATTATGTAATTTTTTCATGGTTTGTTTTCACTTATTATATTAAAAAATAGTATAATACCATCATAATTATTAATGGTATTACAAATCGTCCATTATAGACCTACTCCCTTTAATAAAAAGATATTGTGATCTGACCTGTAAGCCATGATAAATGACCCATTTCTTGTTTTTGATGATTTTTCAGGATTCCATTTTACTATGAAATAAAGATGATATTTGTATTTTGGTTACTATCACCTGTTACTAGAGGATCAAGCTTTATATATAGGAAATTTGTTCATCCAAATCTTGCCAAGAGAGAAAAGGTAAGACTTTAATATATGCCCCAGTTGGTTGTAATTTCGAGCCCATATCACTTTGACAATGCAGGGGGATAGTGTGGATTTTACAGAGTTTCTGTCATTGATCTGTATGTAAATAATTGCCTTTTGTTTTATTTTTGTGCAAGAAATAATGGGGGATATTTCAGACTCACATTGCAGGGGCATTAAGAGGGGATATTACCAGCATACTTACTCAGTAGATTGACCGTGCACAAGAGGTTAAATTATGAAACAGTCTTAAGTCCCTTCTATTGTTTGGATGGTGAATGGGCATTATTATAATAAACAGGAGCATTTATATACTCATTGTATGTTACAGAACAAGAGATATCAATAATTCAGTTGTTATAAATGCACTGGAGTATTTGTTTTATAAGAAAACTTCTCTTCCTGCCTCTTTTGCATTGCACTGCAAAATTTATAGATACTTTAGTATAATTCAGCTGAGTATTTTCATGAATTTTCAACTTTCAAAGTATTGCCCTATATTAAGACCAATGGATCATCCTTAAAACATGTGTCTTTATCAAGGGATTTGACACAAACCATATTCAGCACATGTATTTATTGAATGTATAAAATGATACACATGTACATGGATTTTCTATGTCAGTCAGTCTTTGTTCAATGAGTTAATACATTTACCGTGCTGCAATCAATACATTGTAAACAGTGGTGGTGGAGGGGGTGCAGGGAGGAGGGGTTCTGTCATAAAGTTTTGTGCATATACTTCAGTTAAAATCAGTAGTTGTAATTCAAATACTACTAATTAATTAGTTATATAATCAAGTATCTCCTATACAATACTAATTGATGAACTATATACATATACATACAGTATCTGCTGAACAAGACAATAAAGATAACTATTTCTTTGGATGAGAAATTCATAACAGATGCTTCATGTATACATCATGATACATGTACTTGAGCATGATATTGGATATTAACATCTGTTATTGTATGATATGGATCTACAGTCATGTATATACAAAGGTCATAGTTCAAAGAGCATTTTATTCGGACATGTTTATTTTAATGTATCAATAACTTACCTTTAATCCTCTTAGATCTTTTCGAACTGCATGTTATGTAATGATAATCCATATTTAGATTTGTATGTCCTTGGGTTGAATATTTTCTGTATTATAATTTAAACATTTCACACATTTATGATTAAAAGAAAGATAGATATTTATATATACATGTATGTTAGCAAGCTGTTAAGTGAGATTGCAGATAAATCTTTTTTTAAAAAGGAATTGTAGTAAGGAAAATCAATGTGTGGATATTGATGTTGTTTGAATAGATAAATAACAAGTAACAGCTACCATGAATCATTTAAGATACATAGGTACAAGTTTTCAGGCATTTGCCTGGAGTTCAGGTTTTTTTTGTTTTCCTGAAAGCACCATTTTACTATATAAAACCAATTGAAATAATGCTAAATTCAGGATTTTTAGATCCCTGGACAATGAGGTAGCACTTTAGCTAGCCTTATGGTTAAAGGCATCAAACTAGTTATCTAATTGCTGGCCATGTTGGTTCAAGCCATTGTTTCCTTGTGCAAGAAACTACACTGATTGCTGAGTACTGTTTGGTTCCAGGAATAGATATGATTGTACGTCTATAAGCTTCCTATATGTACACAATCAAACTTAGATCAAGTCTGAAGAAACTAAATTCATGAAATGAGCCGTGTCACGACAAAACCAACATAATGGGTTTGCGACCAGCATGGATCCAGACCAGCCTGCGCATCCACGCAGTCTGATCAGGATCCATGCTGTTCGCTATCAGTTTTTCCACTTAAAATAGAGTTGGTAAGCGAACAGCATGGATCCTGATCAGACTGCGCGGATGGGCAGGCTGGTCTGGATCCATGCTGGTCGCAAACTCACTATGTTGGTTTTGTGGTGACGGGGCTCAAATAAGATCTTACACTAACAGTATCTTAATTTTGTTTTACCATCAAAGGTTAGCAACCTTTACAAAGCTAAATATCTTAAATGGTAACTTAACTTTCATCATGATTTTAAAGAAAATTTTAGAATTAATACACAAATATAGCAAACAGTGCAGATCATGTTTAGACGGCAGAGATGTAATGATTGATCTTGGTCAGCGCTGGTCACAGGGCTAGATTAAGTTGCCACAAGCATGCTAAGATTTTATCTTGTCCCTTAATGTTAGTTTCTAAATTCAAGTATTGAACTATTTCAGTTTATTATGTTAGTGTAACCAAGTAGTAAATAAAGAGTCATATCATGGTATTTAATTTGTTAAACTGACCAACAAAAAGTCTATTCACTGCAATTCTTTAAACATTTTTACACTGCGACAATTTTTCACCATTTAATTATGTTTTCTTGTATTGTTAAGTAAGAAAAGAAATGACATTTTTATACTAAGTATGCCAAATTGGAACATGAATTATGTTGTTAGATAGAAATTTGATTTATGTAATTGCCATGTAAATGACTGGAAGTTAAAGCAATTATGGTAACTTACAAAAAAAATTCAGTAGAAATAAGAATAAATAATTGATGATGATGATGGAAAATTTTCACTTGTTTTGGGAAAAGTCCCTTGCTCTAATTGGGAAAAGTTATATGCCATTACAGGCACTTTTAGAAATTTTAAGAAGTTGAACATGGATTTTATGGGTTTTTTTTATTCAAAGTGTATGATCAAATGATCTGTCTCTAAATTTTTCTTAAACTTTTTTTTTTAAGTCAAACTATTAAAGTAATCTCAAAAAGTTATATTTTTTTGGCAGCTATCGGGAATATTTTATTAAAATTGGGGAAAACATGAGCTTGTTTTGGGTTGGGGGTGGGCTTTTTATCAGCTGTGGGAGATAGTACAAAAATCTCCCTGATGATGATGATGAAACAATACTATTTTAATACTGAAAACAAGAATGTTTGTATAACACCAAGAACAAAAGCAATAATAATCATAAACAAGACTCTTATAAATACATTTGAAAAACTAATGAACATTAAATGTAATATGAGAATATAGCTTAGTAAATAGGAGGCAACACATGTACATACTGGTATGTAGACTGAATTAATTACTGTAAAACTAAGCTTGATTATTTTTTTGTACATTTGTTGTATTGAAATGTTCAATAAAACGATAGTGTTGAACCATTGCATTTCTTAACTTATGTACATGTAATCAGTAATCATAAATGTAATCTGATTACTCCTGTCAGTAATCAGTAATTTAATCAATTACAATGTCAAAATGGAGTAATCAGTAATTTAATTTAATCAAGCATTTTGACAAATAATCATAATTTAATTGATTACAATTGTCAAGTAATCGCCCCATGTCTGAACAAGAGCAACAACATTACTGTAATTATTAATGAAAATAAGGAAGATAAAGAATTTAAAGTACCGGGGTAGATCTAGCAATGATCATAGTATGAAAAAATAATAATTATGAATATCACAATAATATTATTAATAGCAAAATATTAAAGTTATAATACCTGTATTAAAAGTATAATTCTAAATCTTAAGCATCATAAAAGTATTTTTAGCTCTACATTCTGAAGATAAAGCAAAACAGTAATTATTGTCATTACCTGCTTGGACTCTTTAGTTAACTTTTTAATTAAGCTTTCGTTAACTTCAGTAGAAATAAAGCTATTACCTGGGGCATTGAAACTTATAATATGTGGATGCACCATGCAGACTTTTACCTGTCACACCAATTTTCAGGTCAAAAAGGTTAAAGGTAAAGGTCAACAGTAACTTGTACATTTCTGTTGTTGACAATTCATTCTTTTTACTTTTCTGCATACATCTAATGGTGACTCTTTAATGTTGCATTAATGTGCTGTCTGTCTGTCTCTTTCTGTTTTTTAATAAGATTCATCACCCTTTCCTATACAACAAGTTGAATAAGCAACTTTGACTTAAATATATTTTGTTATTTGTATGATGTACTACATACCTTTGATAACATAAGTATCTTTACTGTGGAAAGCATCCTTGAAAATACGTTTGTTACTGTTACTCTGCCATAATTACTCTCTCTGCCATTATTACATCTTCTGCAAATATTGCATACACTGCCATTATTGCATACTGTGCTATTATTTTTTACTCCGGCCATAATTACTTGCTCTGCCATTTTTACTTTCTCTGTCATTATTTTCTGTTTTTGTCTTTACTTCTGAAATTGGTTTTGTTTTGATAACTTTGTCACTCCTTGTGAACATAAGTTATTATTTATTTGATATGACTATATGACTAGTTCATTTCTATGCTTGCTGTAACAGGGTTAAGAACATATTTTCTTATGTTACAGGAGATAGATGAAGCTATTGCTCAAGCCCGGACAAAGGGTTACAGTACATTGATGACACTAGGTCATAGAGGTCTTACATATGCTACAAATGTTGTAGTAAACACAGCTATTAAAGTAAAATAGTTTTCTTATGTCATAAATGTGGACATTCTCATTTTACTTTTCTATTTATATATAGGATATCAATGCTAGTATGTATTTTTCTATCTTTGTTAAGATTGACTTTAGCCACTTTACTTCAAACAGTTTAACATTATGAAGACCATGCATGACTTTTTTCAAGGAAACGAATATCCATATTTTCCTTTATTATTTCCTCTATTATTGTTTCATTTAACAAGTGATAATAATTCAGAATTTTATACAACATGAACATGCTAAATACCAATTTTCTTTCAGTGGATTATCTTGCAATATCTGAACTTGTATCATTAAGTTATGTAACATGTATTAACTTGATATATCATTCACTTAAGTGTTAATACTTACAGTAGAAACTGATTAGTGGAAAGAGTCATTCTGTGGCAGAGTATCTTTAATATGCCAAGTTCTGGTCACTTGCCTGTCACTGCATTCACAGGTGCTCGTCCAGTCTTGGTGCCCATATAAAAAAAATTGAAGTTAAAAAAAAACAAAAACAAAAAAAACCCATAAAAATAACTATTTTGGGTTGATTGTAAGAAAAAAAAATTTGAAATTTTTTTTTTTTTTCCTATATACCATTACTACGAAAAGGTCACCTAGTCGCCGTAACGCTACGGAGCTTTACTAGGACACGCTGTGGAACAACCACAATGTCGAGCTCTGTAACAATACAAGCTATTTTGCTACTCTTTACACATCTTGCATTTAGAAAATTGTTAACATTCTCCTTCTACCTTACATACAATCTTAAATAACCTACATTTAAACTCGGACACTCCAATTTGTTAAAATCTTGCAAAACAACAGTGATTGTCGGCCATTTTGTCGAAAACGAAAGTACAAAACATACACCGTACTGTTTCGCTGTTCTGGTCCCCTACGACTACGTTCGCTGAATAATAGACAACAGTAACCAATAAATTGATGGTTACTGTTGTCTACTGTTCTGCGCACATAGTCATAGGAAACCAGGAGAGCGGAACAGTACAATGTAGGTTTTGTACTTTCGTTTTCGACAAAATGGCCGACCATCAACGGAATTTTGCAAGATTTTAACAAAGACACTTAAACCAGAGTCATTCAGTAAACTGTATTAGTATCACTTAAAAACCACCACCCACAAGAAACAAAACTGATGAAAGTATCAAAACTTTTCAGGGGCAGAGCACTTTAGTTGAGCAGATTAAAAAGAGTTATAGTACCAATGATTTACGGGTAAGAGATGATAGAGGTCGTCGAGGAGGTCGTGACGATGTTGATGGGGTTCCATATATAGACGACAGCGATGAAGAGTTTGGTAGGTAGTGTGTTTAATAATGCATGACATAATGAAGTGAAAATAAATATGTAGGCAGCACTTGACTTGAACAAAATAATAGCGTAGAGTTTCATGTGTTTATTTATAGTAATCAAATATTGTACAGGATGAAAGTTGTTTCCATAATTTGTGTTAAATTTGTTATGAATTTAATTTGCCTGGGTGTACAAATGTAATCGTTTTAAGACCATTTTTCTCATGGACAGGTGTATCATGGAAATATGTTTATTTTTACTTTTTAATTGATTTGAATTATCTGAATTTTTGCCGTTCAATGGAATATTGTAAGGTGAAAAAAAGCTTGTTTATAAAAGAACATCAATAAAAATTGTTGTATGTATGGCTAAAACGTCTGGTTTTAGTGTATTTTTGTACACTGTATGTTTAATTTTTTTTAATTAAAAGGCAAGTTAAACAATAATTTATGGTTTGATTTAGGAATATTTATAACAAAGTAATACCTGTACATATGTAGTTTAATATCCACCATATTTCAGGTCTTACATTACAAGAATCTTCCACCGAAACATCAGATACCTCTTTAATCCCTAGCTCTAGAGCTCAAACACAAAACCCTAGTTCTAAATCTGTGGCTGAAACAGGAACCTCAAACCCAAAACCCACAGCTTTGAGCTCTAAACAATCAGCTAGGTCTAAAATAAGCGAGTCACAGTCAAGTTCAAAACTTTCAAAGCCTTCTGACAAAACAAAGTCTACCTCAAAGAAGGGATCTGGTACTTTTGTTATTTTTGATATCCCCCGGTTGAATTTTATGAACCTGGGATTTTAGCTTACTCTCTGCCTTAAAACTGTTACTAGGGTGCTGGATTTGGAACATTGAAACAAAATTTAACTGTGTCATTCACATGTAAGTTTAACTGATTTTCGTGAAACATTTTTATTTTTTGTTTTGACTTTAATGATAACCTACATATAATTGTGTTTGTTCATATTGAACTGGAGACGATTAATATTGAAATACATACAGGATGGATATATCTGGGTTTTTGTCTGTGTCTATAACCTCTTATCACTGTTGATTATAATTTTTTTTTTACTTTGTTCACTAAAAAAACAAAATATTTATCATTTATATGAAGTTTTGTCATAATTATGTAATTCAATGACATTGACAAAAACCTCATGCTAAATCATTTTAAATGTTGGTTAAATCATTGTGCATTTGTTTACAATGTAATATATATATTTATCAAAAGCACCCTGGGCACAGAACTAAAAATAACCTACACACCCATATTGGTTACTTTGTTAGTTTTGTGGGCACCACTCAGTTTTAGTTGTTTAAGAATAACTTTCTAGGAATGCATACTTGTATAATTTAATGCTATAGTAGTGACCTTTTTGAGTATGTCTTTGCATGCTTTTAAGACATATACAAATGTTACATAATTATAACATTCACTTGTTTGTATGTGTAAAAGCATGTACATTGTCATGATTATTTTCGTCCCTGTATCCTTTACAAAAACTTTTTATTTGAAAATATAGATAAGTCCCTATTTTACCAAAATTCTATATCTAATTGATTGAAGTTTAGTCAAACATTTAAGAATAATATGTTACTCAAGAGGGTTATTAGAGGGTCAACCGGGTCATAGTATCAATGTATTCCTTTACTTTTAGCTGACACATGATTGTATATAAACACATAGAGCTGATCTTAATTGACACATGATTTTATATACACACTTACAGTGGATCTTGATTGACACATGATTGTATATAAACACATAGAGCGGATCATAATTGACACATGATTTTATATACACACATGGAGCGGATCATAATTGACACATGATTGTATATAAATACATAGAGTGAATCTTGATTGACACATGATTGTATATAAACACATAGAGCGGATCATAACTGACACATTATTGTATATAAACACATAGAGTGGATCTTGATTGACACATTATTGTATATAAACACATAGAGCGGATCTTGATTGACACATGATTGTATATAAACACATAGAGGGGATCTTGATTGACACATGATTGTATATAAACACATAGAGCGGATCATAATTGACACATTATTGTATATAAACACATAGAGCGGATCATAATTGACACATTATTGTATATAAACACATAGAGCGGATCTTGATTGACACATGATTGTATATAAACACATAGAGCGGATCATAATTGACACATGATTGTATATAAATCATTACATGCATAGATCTTATTTAAGATTCAGGACTGCACGGGAACATTTCTGTAAAAAATGCACTGCTTTTATTAACTATGTTTATTCGAATTATTATTACCATGCCTTATTTTGTGTAATTTGTGTCATAATATGATGTTTTGGCAGAGTTTTGTCCTTTTATTTTATGAGTCAATATATTATGAAAGATTTCATCCTTTTCAGACATATCCCATATTATTGACCATCTTGATTTATAGAATTATGGTCCAGTCTGAGTGTTGTTTCTTGGTTTTCCAACCAAAATTTTTACATCTTTTGCATGTAATTGTTGATTGCATAAAAGTGTTGTTTAAAGTATAGAGCTTTAAGTAAAGATGATGCTTTGTTAATATTTGTAGAACTTCTCCATTTATAGAAGAAAACAAGAATCAGTGCATTTGTTGTAAAGATTAACCATTTTCATGCATTTACATTGCTGCAACTTTTCCTTTTTTGTATCATTTTCATTCTATAGAATAGCTAAATCAGAATACATTTAGTAATAACAGCATCAGTAGTAACGAGTGCATTTTTGGCAAGAGCTTTGATTTATTCAGTTGTAAAGGCTGTGATCATATTAGTGGATCATTATGTTCAACACTGGAATGCATTTGTTTTCTGAATTTTATAACTTTTTACTTTTGCCTTACGCTACCAGTTACCATTACTAAAATCAAAAGATTTATAGAATACTGATTTTTTTATGAAACACAACTCAAATGTAAGTGAATATTATTTTACTTCATTGTTTTCTGTAGAAAACAGGTTACGTGCAGACAACAAAGAGCTGGATCGTCGTGAAAAACAAGATTTTGAGAAAAGAGAAAGGCGCCCCCTAGCAAGAAGTAAGAGTGACGCTTCCGAGCGAAGACCCAAACGATCCCGCCCTAATTCAGGTGCTTTTACCTGCTGTGCTAGAGTGCACTCCAGCACTTATATATCTATATATATTTGTACTCAGATTAAAGCAGAAAGGTTGATAGTAGTTTTTTCAGAATGGCTTATTACACCTTTGAGCTTTAATCATTTTATTCATTTTCATTCTGCTTGGATTTACTCTGAAATAAATGCTCAAAAAATATATAAACTTTTCAAATGTTGCTTAGCTTAAGATTTGGTCATATTTGGTGGTCATGAAAGGCTAAAGATCAAGGTCAAAAAAACAGTTTGCTGTTCAATAAACTGCCATGACTATTTTAACCTTTTCAAATAACTGACATTTAAGGCCTAGTATTCAGCTCACCTGATCCAAAAAAATAGTAAATTTTTTTTGATTACTTGGTTTTCATCAATATGCAAAATCTTTGATGTAACCTATTACCAAAACAATAACAATTTGGAGGAACTCCCACCTTAAGACAATAGGCATTATTCTTAAATTTATATTTTTGAAGTTATGCCCCTTTTTGAATGTAGAATTTTTGCTAAAATCATACTCATTGGCATAATTAATATAGGGGTGAGGTACAAAACTGTTTCTAGAGCTGAGCTTCTTTTTCACATAGAAAATAATGAAACTTTTGAATCTTGAATATTTACAATCATAAAGCTATTCAATCATCTTACGAAGAAGAACCATTACACCATAGCTCACTTATATTTGATTTTTTAAGTTGATGACCTACACAGATAACCATTGTCCCTGCATGTTGTTGTGCTCTTGTCAGGCTTGTAATTGAACAATTATTGAAAATTAAGGTCAAGGTCATTATTAAATATCAGTTCAAGGTAGAGATGATTCAAGTTAGATTATATTACCAATGTCAAATGCTTTACAATCAAATTGCACATTGCTGTTTCAATTGCCATCCTGTTGCATTTATATTTTAGTCATTGACACATTTCAAACTCGAAAGAGTGTTTTACATTTATACCAGAGTAATTCTTATATTATTTTTTTGCTCAAGGGTAAAGAGATTTTTATTTACTCATTATTTACTTTATACATTTTTTTCATGATTTGTTTTATTTTCATTCATACTTGTTGTACCATCAGCTATCATACACCATTATAGTAAGGCTATTGTACCAGCTGCAATAACCTTATATCACCATGGTAACTTATGTATTTTAGAGTCATCTAATGATGATGAAGGTAAAGGTTACATCAAGTTTCATCACATTTCAATCATAGCATATCTTATATAACAGACCTTGATCACTAATCTCAGGTATAATTTATAGCACACACCAAACTCCGCTTATAACGATATTCAAGGGACCGTCAAATTTATATCAATACATCCGGATATCGTTATATCCTTACCATATTATCCCAGAGGCATTATATGGAAACTCTGCAAATGTGGGTTTTTCCAAACTTTACCTCTGGTACAAACAAACTTTTACCATTATAGCTTAACGGTGCACTACCAGTCACAATAGAAAAGTCAACCTGTTGTGCTTATTAAGCTGTAGCTGTAAAAGTTTGTTTGTACCCCCGGAGTAGCTGGAAAACCCAAAATATTCTTAATTCCTGTCTATTGACTTTCCCTAGCAACCATTGACTTCCATAGCAACCAGTGTTTTTTATAGCAACCACTGACTCCCATAGCAGTAGTCTTTACTGTGGCAACAGCAACGTTACAAGTGGTATATCATTGTAAGCAATATTGTTATAAGTGGAGTTTAATGTACTTCATATAAACAAAAAATGATTGAGTGCTTTTATAGAACTTTTGGAAGTTCTAGAATATATTATTTGTAGAGATTGTGAATTAATAGTTTTGAGGAAATAACTAATTTCAATGATTAAAGTGATGAAAGAAATGGCAACTAGCCTATTGTACTATATTGAGATTTATCCAGGTCTGTTTTAGTTTTGCTTGATTATTTTGCAAATTGCTGAATTGCAGCCTTTTCAGTTATGCTTGCTGTGAGCACTTACCCAGTTCCTCCCATGTTCAGATTTTGTTATCCATCAGTTTTATGGTTCAGTTATTTCCCTGCAGATAACAGTGGCATGGAGTGATGATGTTAAATGTTGTCTGTATTGTGTCTATATGACAAAATCTTTTCCGATTTTGGTTTATCAAATAAATTAAAAGTGACTTTTGGTTCATTGAATTTTTAGATAAAAGTTCATAAAACAGGTGAACATACTAAAAGCTTTCTTGTTAAAGTTGAATACACCAGAAGTGAAAATTACCTGCATAATTATAAGACTTCAGTTTTTGTAAACTCCGTAGAAAGATAATAATGAATATATTTATTTTTGATCAAATGGTTACATTTGCTAACTTCAGACTATTTTCCCCCTAACCTTATGATTTAAATTTGCAAAATGATGATATTTTTTTGTGTGTGAGGAAGTACTGTCAAATATGACCAGTGGTTCTACCCATGGTTTGTCCAGTGTCTGAAGTTTTGTACAGGGGTCACTTATGGGCTCCTACTCCACCTTTATTTAAAGCAGAGAAATTTGATTATGACTGATGAATACAGTTGTATTGTCATGACTTCACACTTGGCTGGGACCATAAATGGTATAACAAAAATAAGGTACACATTGGAGAATAGGTCATAATAACAAATGTTATGTATTTTTATGTGGAAAAAATCTATGTCTCCAAGGAAACAATTACAAGTCTCCATGGCAACAATTTGACATTACATACATATTTGTGTTTGTAGGTCTGTCTCGTGTAGAGGAGGTGGAACACGAGAACACCATGGCGATGTTGGAGAAAGAGCGTGGCGGAGAGATTGACGAGGTCATCGAGACAAGTGATACATATACGGAGGAAATCATCTACTACTCTCCGAGAAAATCGGGGCATTATACAAGTAAAGAGGTATGTACAGTTTCTTATCACTTGATTACAATACTATAGATCCCTTGCATGTTATGTTGTTATTGTATTCTTATGTCAACAATTTGTTTGGAAGTATTTCTGCTATGTGGAGAACATCATAGTTTTATTTATTGTAAAAGTAATTTTTAAAAAAAAAGACGATTTTAGTGAATTTCATTTTCTTTGTTAATCAAGTTTTAAAGTTCACCTGTAATATGTTTGAGCTCAGTTTTTGTATCACTAAAATATAATATAATACTAAAGGCTAAAAATGTTGTGGATAAATTAAACATATATTGATTTAATATTTAACTGTAGCACTATAGTTAATCAAATGTAATGCTGCCTGGAATTTTGAATGTAGAGTATTGAAAAAAATGATGATGAAATGATTATTATTGAATTCATTGTACTTTCCTTTGTTGTAAACTTCAAAGACTATTGGGATCCTACATATTAACGAACAAAATATAATGTTTTTTGCTGTACCTTTTTTTTTGAAAAATAAAAAAGAATGAAATTTTAGCCAAATAATTGTGGGTTCTTAATATACGTAAACATTCCTTTATCAAACATGAAATTAAACATTTGACCGTAGAAATGTGTCTTTAAAGTAGGGGATTCAAAGAGGAAAAAAATCGTGTAGACAACTCAATTTACCGGACATTGTGTTTCAAAATTTGTTCAAGTCTTAAATTGAAATTAAGCAAGGAAACTAAGACTATTGAATGGCAATGTTAAAATACTGGAAAAACTCAGTATGTCACTAAAATAGACATGACAGCCATGCTTGTTACGAAGAGGCCAATTATAATAGAGGTGTAATTGAAATTAACACTATTAACCCATTACTTCATATACACGCCTTTTAACGCCTTTTTCACCCCCCCCCCCTTTTTGTTGTCTCAAATGGTGAAAAAATGCCTTATTTAGGCCCCCAACACTTGTTTTTGTTTGAGAAATGTTGTTAAAAAAAGTGACCAGTTTTTCGGCGCGGCCCCCAACCAAAAGATACATCAGGGGGTTGCCAGAAGGGGGATGTGCCCCCTTCTGTTTGGGGGGTTTGAAGGGGGGCAGAGTCCCCCTCATCGCCAAGAAAATTTTGGACTTGTGAGAGGCTATAAATGACCTCAGATTGATCATAAGGTAACGTGTAACCAACGCTGAAAAGCATTTGACTCTATCTCAATCCATTGAGACGTTGCAGCACTTTGAAATCAATTATGATGGAAAAAATCAACGCAAAATAGTGATTTTTGGCAATTTTGAGATGTCCCCTCGTTGCCATGGTAACAGAAAATTTAAGCCTGAGCATGTTGTTGCAAGGGCAATGGTCCAGTCAACATTTGTGCCAAGTTTGATTAGTGTTGAAGCAGTTTTTATAGTATTATAGCAATTTGAACTTGTAACGGGAGACTTTTCAATGAAAACAGCCATTTTTCACAAAATGCTCATGAAGCAATGGGTTAACTCAATTTACGTATTGATTCTTCATAATCCTTAAACATATGACACATTTTGATATTCAAATGGAATTCTGTTCTTTCTCACACATTTTCCTTTTGGTCATCATGTAGCATGTTGCAAAAGCCATAAAGTCTATTTTTGTACATTTCATGTAGAGTTTCCTCCCATGGGCGTAACCCGTTTCCTTATATGTTTTTTTAATTTGCATTTCTTTGTAAAAGACAATAACGAGATATTGTTTGAACGAAATTTAAAATTATTTTTCAGTTTAAACAATATTTTATTTATAAGTATTACATTTACATGATAATTGACAAATAATAAATAGTACGGATTGAGTAGGAAGCTTGAAAAGCTTTTTTAGAAACTCTTTCCGTAATCACTATCTCAAAGAGTATGTAAAATGGTAACAATTATATGCATTTTTGAGTTAAATATACATAACATTTTCACTATAAACTTGCTTCTTTACATGTACAAGAAAGTTAGCAATTTGCACTCTGGTTTTCCTTATCAAAACGACCTTAATAACAGAATGTGTAAGAAAACTCTATAGCTCTATAGCATAAATACACGTAAGTGATAAATGCACAAATTAGCACGTTTAAACTTATCAAGAAAAATAATAGAACTTTTAAACATGTTTAAAAAAAAATTAAAGAAAAATAAAGAAAATTATTTTTTATCTTTATAATATGTCACGATTGTCTCCTGAGGTAATGTTGAGAAGAATTAAAAGTAAAACATATCTAAAATAACCCATTAAGGGCCTCAATATTCGGGAATGCGCAGAACAGATTATTCCCCGACATGACCAGGTCACGGAATAACTAGTAAACAAAAAGGTATGTTAGTAAATAAAGAACTGAATCAACAATATTTGCCTGAGAGTGGTTTTGTTGTTATTTACTTTGAAATAGAAAGTGTGTGTAGGATTGAGACCGGATGATTTTTTAATTGAAGCACAAAATAAAGCCTTCTTTTACAGGAATAGATTTTGTCCGGTAAACTGATTGTCCGGTAAACATGTAGGATCCCAGTATATTTTTTAATGGCTTCAGTATTTCTCCCCTTTTCTGCTTTGTATGTTATATAACTAATTGTATATATTGCAATATTTCATCAGCCAAATAAATCTAAAAGGTATTGTAAAGCTTTTCTAACCTTTGTATAATGTAACCTTTACTTTGCTCTCCTTTGTTGGGATGGAAGAGTGAATTGGGTTTTATCTCTTTTATATGACCCTTTACCTGCTGGGCAATAAAGTGACAACCCATGGACACCAGTATAGAGCCAGGCCAGTCTGTACATCCATGTAGTCTGACCAGGCTCTATACTGTTGGCTGACCAATATATGGCCAGGCCAGCCAGTACCACCAGGCTCTATACTGTTGGCTGGTTAACTTTAAAGTTTTCATTTTTTATTTCCCCTTTCCCCAAAAATGACAGTTCATAAAAAATGGGTTTAAGGACGTTTTTGAGAGTTTTCATATACTGTAGACATACAGACAAAATTAAAACTGTTCAATAGAATTTCTTTAAACTTGGCATGTTGTTGGAATATGATAATAGGAACATTTTTTGGCCTGTTTGTCTATATGAAAACTCCTGAAAATGTCTTTAAATGCATTTAAAATTGTCAGCAGGTTAGGGTTTATAACAGATACTAATATGTATGTAACTGATTCTAATATATAACTCTGCTAATGTATCAATATAAATCACTTTACCAACTTGCATGTAACTTATTTTCTATATGACCACCTTATTGAAATAAGCCCCAGGTACACCCAACTGTAGTAAGATGCACATTCTATAATTCGACTACTAGTTTTCACATACTTGTATATAAATTCAAATACCTTTAGCAAACATGCTTTGTATTTAAACACATAGGCATTTATAATTCCTCATGGGCCTTAAGGTCATTGACTTCAAAACCACTTGCCCCCTCACCACTTTTGGTTTGAATCCTGACAGGGATTCTGGATTCTTTCATGTGAGGAAGCTATCCAGCTAGCTTACAGAACGTTGGTGGTTCTACTCAGGCGCCCGTTCGTGCCTGAAATAATGCACAGAAGGGCACCTGAGATCTTCCTATATCGGTAAAGCTGGAAAGTCACCATATGACCTATACTGTGTCAGTGTGACTTAAATCCCAATCAAACACATGGGCCTTAAGTTGTGGGTTTTTGACTATAGAATATGCATCGGACATTTATAACCATGGCCTTTCCGTCTCAGAAGCAAGGTGTATAGAAAGGATAATAAGCTGTGTGTTTACATTCCTTCTTTGCCATTCATTACTTTGTTCTTTTATTTATTTATCAAATAAAGTAGGGAATATAGTCTAACCTGTCTTTCAATGAATTTAGTAGGGTTTTACCATATGATCATCTCTGCAGGGAAAACAAACAAATTTGTTATCAAACACTTAGAATATCCTACATTTTTGAATTTGCTCATTTTTAATGGTTATTCAAAAATAAGTTTCAGTTTCATACTCATTGCTTTCTTTGCTGAGTAATTTTTTTGGTTGTTTGTTCTATATTATCCTGTGTGTTGGGTATTCCATGGTAGCCACCTATCTGACCATCTCTAACATTACATGGTTATTGTTGCAACAAGAGTGTTGAATATAGACTTAATTCATGTTAAGGTGACAAAAAAAAACCTTCTCCACCCCAATCCACCCATTGTCTAAAACTACCACTTTGTATAAGTTCTCTAAAGTTATTCTGAATTATTAAATGTGCATATATGACTGCAATCAGAACTAGTTTATTCCTTATTATCTTCAGTATGGGAAATTTGTTAATTTCCTAGCTTCAAATGTTCTGTTTTCAGACAGGTTATGGCATTGTGATTGATTGCAACTAAATATTTATGAAGAAAATGTTTGAATAACTTTTAATAGAATGTGAACATGTCTACTGTTTCACATGCAGAGATCTAACTGTTCAAGTTTAGAAGAATAAATGTGAATTGTTACCTAATAAAAAGAATATCAAATGCATGAATGTCTGATTATGATACTGGAAATTAACAATTAACTTACAATTTTAACTTAAAAATGACATTCATTTTCTATTGTTATTTCATAATTAAGATACTGTATAGAGTTTATATTGTTTGATATATATATTTATCCAGTAAAGTATTTAATGATATAAATTTTTTATTTTATTACAGGTAAAATCAGATCCATATGCGACATTGCCTCGTACTCGCTCAAGACAACGGCCAAGACTTCATCAGCACTAGCCTTTTCCTTATAAATAACTGTGATATGTTCATCATGACTAGAGATTGTTGTGTGACTGTCTATACATATGATTGGTTGATAGGATTTGTTGTTAAAAATAACATGAGTGAGGATTAGTTGATATAAATAGCTTGTGTGATTATTGGTTGATATAAATAGCTTGTGTGATTATTGGTTGATATAAATAGCTTGTGTGATTATTGGTTGATATAAATAGCATGTGTGATGATTAGTTGATATAAATAGCTTGTGTGATGATTGGTTGATATAAATAGCTTGTGTGATTATTGGTTGATATTAATAGCATGTGTGATGATTGGTTGATATAAATAATTTGAGAAAGCATAAATGTAGAAAATAATTTCACCATTGTTTAAATGCTTCCATGGCAATTTACATTTATTTGTAAAGTGAGAGCAAGAATGTTTTTAACTTGCCTTGTGATTATTTTTTATGCCCCCGCCATGTAATGGCAGGGGCATATAGTGTTACCCTGTTCCGTCATTCCGTCCTTCCGTCCTTCCATCCTTCCGTCCTTCCGTCATTCTGTCATTCCGTCATCATCAGTTTCCGTTCATTATCTTAAGAATGGTTGCACACATTCAACTCAAATTTGACATATGAATATGTCATGACAAAATACAGGTCAAGTTCGAATTTGGTCATGGTTCGATGATTTTTGACAGAGTTATGCCCCTTTTACTTTGAAAATAATATGAAATTTCAGTTTCCGTTCATTATCTCCCCAACGGTACAACACATTCAACTCAAACTTGACATATGGATATGCCATGACAAAATACAGGTCAAGTTCGAATTTGGTCATGGTTCGATGATTTTTGGCAGAGTTATGCCCCTTTTACTTTGAAAATAATATGAAATTTTCAGTTTCCGTTCATTATCTCCCCAACGGTACAACACATTCAACTAAAACTTGACATATGGATATGTCATTAGAAAATACAGGCCAAGTTCGAATTTGGTCATGGTTCGATGATTTTTGGCAGAGTTATGCCCCTTTTACTTTGAAAATAATGTGAAATTTTCAGTTTCCGTTCATTATCTCCCCAACAGTACAACACATTCAACTCAAACTTGACATATGGATGCGTCAAAAGAATGCGCAGGTCATGTTCAAATTTGGTCATGGTTCAATGATTTTTGGCAGAGTTATGCCCCTTTCACTTTGAAAATAATATGAAATTTTCAGTTTCCGTTCATTATCTCCCTAACAGTACAACACATTCAACTCAAACTTGACATATGGATGCGTCAAAAGAATGCGCAGGTCATGTTCAAATTTGGTCATGGTTCAATGATTTTTGGCAGAGTTATGCCCCTTTCACTTTGAAAGTAATATGAAATTTTCAGTTTCCGTTCATTATCTCCCTAACAGTACAACACATTCAACTCAAACTTGACATATGGATATGTTTTTGGAATGCCCAGGCCAAGTTGGAATTTGGTCATGGTTCAATGATTTTTGGCAGAGTAATGCCCCTCTCACTTTGAAAATAATATGAAATTTACAGTTTCTGTTCATTATCTACCCAACAGTGTTACATATTCAACTTAAATTTGACATATGGATATGTCAAAGGAATGGGCAGGTCAAGTTGAAATTTGGTCAGGGTTTGATGATTTTTTTTGCAGAGTTATGTCCCTTTCACTTTGAAAATAATATAGATACATCTTAGGAATAAGCAGTTTAAGTATGAATTTGGTTGTGGTTCAATGATTTTAGACAAACTTATCTTTCCTGAATGTTGGAAAAATTTTGTACTTTCAGTTTCAGCACTCATACTTTTAGCCATTATTTTGGCTACAAATATGAAATATGTTATTTTTAAAAGGTTAAGACTGAATAATTTCAGTGTCTTGAACATTGTATGAAAATGGTTTGCGTTAACATTTTAAAGTTTTAAGGGCTTTGAACTTAAAATGAAAAAAATAATTAATGCACCATCTGAAATTTTGGCTGCATGCGGGGGCATCCGTGGCATGATGACACATTTCTAGTTGTGTTATTTTGTTGTTGTTTTTTTGTGTGACAATTTTTGCTTTTTCATGATGCTAATGATATCAAATAATGCATTACATGTATCTTCATGGACACCTTGCGTTATAGTAAGAAACATTATGTATTTTTATGAGGAATGCTGGTTTTGTATTTTAGGGATTAAAGAAAAAGCAGTGGTTTGCCATATACAAAATTTATATCTCATGGTTGTCCTTTAATAATTTCTCATTTCCGTGCAAAGGTAATATTTTTCACATGTACCTTAGCTGTATTTGTCCAAAATAAATTTTTGGGTACAGAGACATATAGAAACTATTGTATATGAGAAAGTTAATTTGATTGATAGGTGTTTAGATGATGACAGTTTTTGAATGTTTTTAAATGTAAATATATTTGATCACATAGTTGATAACCTATTTACGGTTGGCATTTCCCAGTATTGCAATAGGAGGAATTGATCTTAAAATAGTTAACTGAATTGAATCACTACTTAATATTGGTACATCCATGTTATACTACTGGAATGTACATGAATCAACTACATGTATATAAAATGCAGTGACTCTTTATTTGTGATTTGAAAATGGTATGTCTAATGTTCAATTGTGATTACACAATGATATGCCATTTGCCATTTATTTTCAATGATATAGAAATAAAAACAACACTATTTTGTTAGCATAGTTTACTAGATTCATGTTAATTGTAATAAATGAAGGATTTTTTTCATCACAAATATTGCATGTCTGAATGAGTTTGAATGCTTTGTTCCTATTGTAGACGAAAAAGATTCATTAGATTCAAATAGGTTTTAAGGGCATTTTTTAACAATAAAGTAGTGTTGTTTTCTAATGTTTCTGTTTTTCATTGATAAAATTGTTTGATTTTTTACCTTGACTTTTCAAGGAATTGGGAGAGTTATTGTACTCAACCAGGAAAGGGCATCACATTTTGGTTAAGTTTTTGCATGCAAGTTGGTATCTCCAAAGCTACAGAGGGGAGTAGGTTGAAAATTCACACACTCATTCGAAAACATAATATGAAGTCTCTATCCAAGGCCAATAACTCTCACATGGATTTTGACAGAATTATGACCCTTTCTGAACTGAGAAAAGTTGAGCATGCTGTCCACCAGACAGCTATTGTTTAAAAGAGTTGTGAGAATACCTTTCTTTTGTTAGCTAATTTATTCATTTGTCTGAACAATTGATAATCAGTGGTATTTATATTTGATTGCATGTTTTATTTAACACATTGTCAAGTAAAACAAGGTATTGTGCTGTAAGTTGGGATGTTGGGATAACATTATGAATACCCCGTGTCTTTCACTCACCATTTTGTTATGCATGATTTTGCCCTAGATTTTTATCAAATGTGTAACGTTTTCATACGATAAAATAAATAAAATATCCAAAAAAGATCAATTAATAACTTAATCTTTTATTTTGTGTAAAAAGAAATCGTCAAAGTTTAGACAGCGATTCTTTGGAAATTGCAAAAAGTAAAATATAGAAAAACTTAACAAAAGCTGTACAATTTCAGAATTCTTAAAATAGAAAATACTATTCAATGTTTATAAAAAATAACAACTAATTTTGTGTCTGATATTTTAATACAAATCCATAGAGACACATTTCTCTTGTTGTTGGTCAGCTTCAGGTTATGTTGATATGTTAAACTGAGAAAAGTTGAGTACGCTGTCCGACAGCTCTTGTTTGAACAAGTCATGTAGTCATTTCTTCTTTAATGGGAAGAGGCATGATAGAAAAATGCATTTATTAAAGTGATTAGCATCATTTTACTAGTTATTAGTTGATCAGTTGTGTTAATTATGTTAGAAAATTCATGAATTTATTTTCATTTGTTTAAGAACTTGTTAAGTTGTTTCTTATGGCTAAAAATATTGCTTATTTTAGTCAATCTTATTCCCTTTATCTGTTTATTTGCTTCTGAGATCTCATTCAATGATACTCTTGACAGTTTTTGATGAATTAATTGTAATTGTGTTGCATTTTTTCATAGATTTAGTATGGAAGAGTGTAAAACAGATGTTGTCATTGGCCGATTTTCTTGATAAGCATATAAAAAGATTTTTCATTGGTTGTAATTAGGTGAACCTTACAGGAAAGTGTATAATGTATTATTGAATTGTATTTGAACTCAATTTAGTTTTTAATATTTATGTGTTTCTATTTAAATGGCATGGATCTGTTTTAATTTTCTGATCTTTTAAGAATGTAGGGTACTGTAAGTACCAAATTTGATTGATTATTTTATTCTGATAAAGAAAATGGATAAACATGAGTAGTATGATTTAGAATAACATTAATGATAGTGTATTATATATAGTCATTTAATGACACTTTTCTGAAACATTGTGTATTAAACAATGGAACTGTATGAAAGGGTAAATTAATTTTTGTTTTCTTAGTTTGTCTTCCATTCTAATTTTTTGTGGTAAATAATTATACTTAAGATTTTTCATAATTTATTGATAATTACTTAAGTAACTGTTAGCATGTCATTCTTTATAATTATTTGAAATATTAAAGTATTTGAAAATAACAAAAGAGACATATTAAGGTCCTAATGTATAAGGATTCCAGTTATGTGTAATATTAGTAGATGCTTATAATTTGTAAATTATGTATAGACACATTCAAAACATCTATGATGATGTTTTTTATTTTCCTTTGAAAGAATAATGAGTTTTTTAAATGGAAAACTGATTTGTTATAAAAGCAATATAAGAATGATACTTGATTGATATTTCAATGAAGACTGCACACAGTCACTGCTAATGAAATATTTAGGGATGTAGAATACTGGGTAACATATCCCTCTATCATACATCTACTTACCACACTGAATTGCTAAATGGGCAATTTTAGACCTTCATCATATATAATGGATTCAGACTGACCTTATTCTGTTCTGTTCTGTTTTTATAGGCTGTACATTTTCAGAGCCAACATCCAAACATGGACACAGAATTTACTGAAGTTTTATTCTGTGTCCTAAAGTTAAAATTTTGTTCCCTCACATATCATTTCACCTGATCCCTCACAGATATTTCTGTCAGATGTGGAATACTTGTTAATGACCATTAACCTCAGCTTGTATGCAAGAGAATATAGGTCTTACAAATGATGCCCTTGTTATATAGAATTTACATTAAGGTTTTCATACCACTTGTTTTAGAACAAATCAGATACATGTAATTCACATGTGTTAAAAAATTTTCTGTTGTTGAGTAATTTACTGAATGTTTGCTTATATTTATTTGGGGAGGCTGTATTCATTCATATCCATATTTATATACACATTGTTTCTTTGTAAGCTTGCTGTAACAAAAATCTTTTGTTTTTACTCTCAAATGGAACAAGAACGAGTTTAAAAGGAACAAGTGTAAAAATGTTACCCTATTAGTCTGTTGAAACAACTACCATCATCTCAAAAACTTTTATAAACTGATTATTTCATACGGTTGTTACAAGATTTTAAGAAATACAACACTTTTTAAAGAAATTATAATTATAATAATTTTTTGGTCCTGAATCTGTTGGAACCCAAAGGGATAAGCCTTTACCGCCGTATAGGGCCATGTCAGCCTGCACATCAGTGTCATGTGACCAGACTCTATATTGTTGGTAGCTAAATATTTGTATTTTGATACTGTAATCCCTTAAAATTTGAATGGACTGTTCTAAAAATCAAAACAGGGCAAATGCATTATATAAATTAATAGGGCAAGGGATAATATTGTTTGACTTTTAGATACAACAAATATTGAAACATGTTTTTTTTCTTGTTCTAATTAAGGTTATCTGTTTGGGTTGAGGCAGTATGTATCATTGTCCTGTTGACAGTGGTTCATCTGAACATTATAATTGCCCAGATCTCTCTTACTAAAAACATGTTTTTATGTATAGTTAGATTCCTATCTCTTTCACAATTTGCAAATATTTTGTATTCCTGTGGAATACTTTGCTAATTATTTTGCATTAAACCAATTTTTTAAAATAACATTTGAGATTAATATAGATTTTTCTGTTATACCAATAATTCATTAGAATAGTAGTTCTTATCACACACATGATGTTATGTTATTGTTTATGCTAAATAAATTACCTCAGTTTGCTGTTATGTATATGTATTTAAGGTTTATATTATGGTCATAATTGTAGTACAGGTGCTTTGGATTTGTATTTTTGTAGCATTTCTTGCACAGTTTAGTTATACACAGTATATTTGTATATTAAGTTGAATATACCTGTGACCACCTTATTGTTTTAATTCGTTACTTTGATTTTATTGAAATATTTTGGTATATTTATTAGTTGTAGAGTAGAAAAAAGTGGTAACTGATAATAATTGTATAAATGGATTATATTTCTTGATTATGTGTCTGTTAAGTTTAGAAGGCATTAAGACTTGTAAATGTGTGAAGCAGTAACACTTTGGACTATCCGAGAAACATGTTGTCTATGCACAAACTAGGGAATTAAGTATTATTATACGTAACTGCTGGGTTTACTCTGAAAACAACCTTGTATTTTGAAGAATTTAGTTTTAAAAGTTGTTAATTTTTTACATAGCAGCTTATTGCTTATGATCATTGCATGTAAGTCGGCTTCATCAACTAGCCAGTAGTTTTGTCATATTAAGTTGGTTTCAGATTCTTCAGATTTCAACTTTTAAGTTTATGTCTGAGATAATGATATCTGAAATATTAGACCAACAGTACAAATTATTTTGTTTTAAAAATGTTGAATCAACTGCATGAAAAATGATACCAGAGCTAGATTAAATTTGTATTAACACATTATTTTTGGGAGAAAAAGTTCTTATGGATACATTTTTTGAAAGGAAATCTAATCAGGTCAAACAATAACAGATTTTCACCCACCTATATACATTTGTAAGTTTGACAGGAAGAGAAAAGGTTTTGTTGTTGCCTAATTGTATGTTGTATTAGTTGTATAGACAAGAATAAGATATTGTCAGAGAAGTTCAAGTGTAAATCATCATCAGTATCGGAGTTGTTAATGTCATTGGTGCTAGGTCGGTCACCATAGTTGCATTTTAATATAAAGTTACATGTGTGGATTTGTTCTATAATATAACTGAAGAAGAAAAAAGGGACTTAATAAATGGAAAAAGAAAAGATTTGTCCTGATATGCTAGTACATGTTTATTGTTTGATGAAAGTAAGGGTTTATCACATAACTGTCAAATTTATCTCATTTAGTTTAATGGAGTTGTAACATTATAGTTAAAATCCCTCCATTTATACTTTCTTTGTATTTTACTCACCGGAAAATATATTTTATGGAACACTTTTTTGCGTGATCATCAATCTTTTGTCAAAAATGAACTAAACTTCTTAATACATACAATCATTTTGCTGACATCTTATTACACTGTGCTTGAATCAGTTAACACAAACTATATATGATACATGTTTAAATTGTTCATAGAATAGGAAAGTGAAATTATTACAGGGTCTCACATATTCAGTCTTTCTCCATCATGACAGATGAATAGGCACTAAATAACCCTAAAGGTTGATTTTAAGAAAGAAGACGTAAGAAAAAATCTCAAATTATTTCTAAATAGAATGAGATGTTTCACAAAAATGTTTTAGCTTTTTATTTTTGTTTAAGTTAAAATCTGAAGTACATATTTGAAAGTAATGATGTTCTAATAACAATTCTGAAGTTAAGATCCAAGAAGTTAATAGTAAACTACATATAGTTTCAAAATTAAAAACAACTTCTAGTATGTTAAACAATTTGTAATTGGGAAAAGAGATTGTGTTAACTGATGAAAGTACAACACTGTCCTTGAAAAAAGAAATTCTAAGCATTCCTTATTGTGCTCAAATCTTTATTTTTTGTTTTATTTTTAAGATTGTTGTTTTGCATAATGCCAGGGATTTTGTTTCATTGTTTCATTTTCTAGCTTCACTTACAAGACTGTATCCACGGTGTTAATTAGTCCAGGTTTATAAATGAAACACATAATTGATTATTAATGCTAGGAAAATGGTATAACTGAATTGATTTAAGTCATTTTGTAAATTGCTCAAGTAAGATTTGTTTGTTTGCATTTTTAGACGACAGAAATACTTGTTGTCAAGCTAAATTAAATTGAAAGGACTCCCAGGTGGTAGAAATATATACGGTATGTTTTTCTCTTTAGCAGTTTGAATTTTGTCTTTCAGTTTCGTAAATTCGAAAGCTTAAGAGAATGTATTAGATATGAAGATCTTTTATAGTTGTGACGATCTTTTACCTTGTAATTTTATTGATATCTCTCATTATTGGTAGAGATAATTACATATTATTTGTGTACAGTTAGGACAAAACACCCATTTAAAGCACGCTGTAACTGTCTTCTTGAAATATCTTTTACCCTTAGTTTAACGCTGTCATAAGGGCGTATCCCAACCTATCCCAACCCTTGGTCTGTCTTCGTATTGCACCTGTTTATTTAGTTCACATATTTCTTGCATATTTATTTCATTTAATAGTCTGGTGAGGATTCATATATTTCACGTGTTCGTAGATTTTTGTTTGACTATTCTGTAAGCAATATTTACAATGTTTGTAAATAAAATATGTTAAAATTTTTAGCTTGTTTATTTGTGTTTTTTTTTCTTCCCACTCCAAAAATATTCTTATTTTAGTGTTACCAACAGGACATTTGGCGTTGGATGTTTCCCAGACCTGCATATTTGTCAATGTATCTGTCAATAAATAAAGGCTGTAAGATTAAACGTGTAAAATATTTGTTTAACACTCGTGACCTTGACATTTACTTCACTAACAAATGTATCTACCTACCAAATATGATAGTCACCAGTGAATACAAAAAGGCTGTATGGTATACCCTACAATCGAAATGCAAAATACACGAGTTCAATGTGTCTGCAAAAATGGCACTTTATATATTATGTATATGTTATACGGGAGTGGATGGAAATGATCTTTCACATATTCTTATCTTATTTGGGTAAAATATAGTTATTGCTTTCAAAGTATACATCCTTAGAATCGTGCTTATAAACTACTGTGAAAGCTGTTAAAAATTTGGATTGAAAATAATTTCCCAGTGACGGGGCATTTGTCGAAGTAAGTCACAAACAGAAAATCGTTTCTAGGGATTTATTAATTATTTATTGCCCAATTAACTTTTTTAGTTTGTCCTTCATTGGTCCAAACCATAGCTTCTACATGTTATTTATAGTTTGGAATGTAAATTTAGTTTTATTTATGTTATCAACTTTATGTTGCGACTGATACCAAGGACAAGTACATGCAAAACGTTAAAAACCCGAAACAGCAACAAATGGTGTCAATCATTAAGTTAAAGCCGCTTTTGAAGAACTTTGAAGTAATTGATTAATAGTGGCGGATTTAGGCCCGGCTTCGGGGCTGCAGCGCCCATTCCCCAGCTAGGCCCAAATATACGTTTACATTTAAAGCTGTTATCCAGTTGTTAATCTCCTGACTGGGGGCTTGCCAGATATCTTTATGTATCAACATGATTGTTTAAACTGCATAATTGACTGGTTTGTTACTTTCCAAAGGTCTTTCCATTTTCTTCGGGAAAGCCCTATAATTAAGAAATAGAAAATTATGATTTGTAAATACAAGGTGGCAAGTTTTATAAAGATAATATTAAAGGAATCACGTTTTAATAACTAGTTTTACTAAGATTTTTATTAAGATGAAATGACTGGTCATTTGCTTTTAATAACTTTTTATGGCAGTTATATTTTTTTAAATAAAATTTAAACTGTACTGACCTCTTTAGTCATAATCTGTAATGGATTCATTGATGGAAAAAAATCTTATTGAATATTAGTGGGGGTTTTTTTTGTACAATAGAAAGGCAGTGTTTAAATAACACTTTATTTAGGAAAATCGTCTATTATTCAGATGAGTAAATTGATCGAGTGTTTGAAACTACATGTATTTTTATCAACGGTCGCGCATACATTGGTAAGTATGCTGTTATTTTATATATACAAAATACCATGTGATGTTGAACCACCCAAAAGCACTAAAAATAAACAGCACTAGAAAGTCAAGGAAATGACACTATTTTCAACCTCATATTTCAAAATTTTCTCAGTCTATGGCAGGGGACACCCCTGCCAGACCCACCCCAATCACATACACTTTCTTAATTCCACTCTTAATATTCCTCTAAATATTTACAAAACAGTAGTATGCACATATATAAGAAAAAGTGCATTGCCACTCATAAGATGAGCTATAAAACACATCAATTACAATTTTTGTCACATGAACAAGATGCTGGTCCAATCTTCAAACATGCAAAAAAATTTCCTGTTGCATTGTATTTCTTTTGTTTATGTCAAAATCTTCCACCCATATGTCAGCCCCCCCCCAGAATATTCTGTTCTGTATCCGCCCCTATTGCTGTTTCGGTTATACGTACATTTACATATTGATAAGGACGTAACAACGCGCCAAGTCATCGCTGACGTTTTACTTGGGCTAGGGCTTGGAGACTTACATTTCTGTGCATGGCCTCCTTCACACTTGTACAAAATCGAATCCGCAACGAAATCGGACGGATGGTGTCGAAGCAATGGCTGTGGGGGCAACTGGTTTTTACGTACATTTACATATTGATATACATAAGGACGTAACAACAACAAAAAAAAACAACAACAAAAAACAAAAACGGACCATGCGCTGAGTTCTCACAAACGTTTTACTTGCGCTTGGGCTTGGAGACTAACATTTTTGTGCATCGCACCCGTCACATTTGTACAAAATAAAATCTGCAATGGAATCGAACAAATGGTGTCGAAGCAGTGGCTGTTGAGGCACTGTATTTTACGCACATTTACATATTGATAAGGACGTAACATCAAAAAAACGGACCACGCGCTTAGTTCTCGCAGACATTTTTTATGGGCTAGGGCTTGGAGAATTACATTTCTGTCCATTGCCTCCTTCACACTAATACAAAATCGAATTCGAAATGGAATCGGACAGATCGGACAGTTTCGAAGCATAAGGTATTGGGGCACTGTGTTTTGTACGTACATTTACATATTGATAATGACGTAACAACGCGCACCGAGTTCTCGCGGACAATTTACTTGGGATAGGGCTGGGAGACATAATTTCTGTGCATAACTTCCTTCACACTTGTTCATAATCGAATCCGCTATGGAATCGGACGGATAGAGTCGAAGCAGTGACTGTGGGGGCATTGTGTTTTTACGTACATTTACATATTGATAAGGACGTAGCAACGAACAACGGACCGCGTGCGCCGAATACTCGCGGACGTTTTGCTTTGGCTAAGGCTTGTAGACTTACATTTCTGTACATCGCACCCCCTCACACTTGTACAAAATCGAATATGCAATAGAATCGGAGAGAAAGTGTCGAAGCAGTGACTGTGGGGGCACTGTGTTTTACATGCATTTACATATTGATAAAGACAAAACAACGAAAAACGGGCCGCGCGCGCCGAGTTCTCACCAACGTTTTATTTGCGCTTGGACTTGGAGACTAACATGTCTGTGCATCGCACCCTTCACACTTGTACAAAATCGAATCTGCAACTGAATAAGACTGATGGTGTCGAAGCAGTGGCTGAGGGGCATTGTGTTTTTACGTACATTTACATATTGATAAAAACAAAACAACGAAAAACGGGCCGCGCGCCGAGTTCTCGCGGACGTTTACTTGGGATATGGCTTAAAGAATTATATTTCTGTGCATCTCCTTCCGAACACCTGTACAAAATTAATTCCGCAACGGAATCGGACGTATCCTGTCGAAGCAGTGACTGTGTGGCATTGTTTTTTTACATACATTTACATATTGATAAGAACGTAACAGCGCGCCAAGTTATCGCACGTTTTACTTAGGCTAGGGCTTGGAGACTTACATTTCTGTGCATGGCCTCCTTCACACTTGTACAAAATCGAATCCGCAACGGAATCGAACGGATGGTGTCGAAGCAACTGGTTTTTACGTACATTTTCATATTGATAAGGACGTAACAACAAAAAAACGGACCGCGCGCGCTTCGAGTTCTCACCAACGTTTTACTTGTGGTTGGACTTTGAGACTAACATTTCTGTCCATCGCACCCTTCACACTTGTACAAAATCGAATCTGCAACTGAATCAGACGGATGGTGTCGAAGCAGTGGCTGTTGGGGCACTGTGTTTTTATGCACATTTACATATTGATAAGAACGAAACAACAAAAAACGGAACACGCGCTGAGTTCTCGCAGACATTTTACTTGGGCTAGGGCTTAGAGACTTACATTTCTGTGCATCGCCTCCTTCACACTTGTACAAAATCGAATTCGAAATGGAATCGGACGGATGGTGTCGAAGCATTAGGGGTTGGGGCACTGTGTTTTTTACGTACATTTACATATTGATAATGACTTAACAACGCGCACCGAGTTCTCGCGGACATTTTACTTGGGATAGGCCTGGGAGACATAATTTCTGTGCATCTCCTTCCTTCCCACTTGAACATAATCGAATCCGCATCTGAATCGAACGGATGGTGTCGAAGCAGTGCCTCTAGGGGCACTGTCTATTTACATACATTTACATATTGATAAGCACGTAACAACGAAAACGGGCACCGCGCACCGAGTTCTTGCGGACGTTTTACTTGGCTAGGGCTTATAGACTTACATTTCTGTACATCACACCCTTCACACTTATACAAAATTGAATCTGCAATGGAATCGGACAGAAATTGTCGAAGCAGTGACTGTGGGGGCATTGTATTTTTACGTACATTTACATATTGATAAGGATGTAACAACGAAACACGGACCGTGTGCACGGAATTCTCGCGAACGTTTTACTTGGGCTAGGGTTTGGATGTGCATCGCCTCCTTCACAAAATCTGCAATGAAATTCGGAGGGATGGTGTCGAAGCAGTGGCTCAACAGATGAAAAAGTACAAAGGGTTGACGGACGGACGAAAGAAAAGGCACATAAAAGAAAAATAACCAAATAAAAAAGGGAAATAGCCACATAAACGCTTACGAATTGAATGACTACAAGTACTTATTGCTCCTGTGTCGACGGACGGACGTACGGACAGAAATAAAGAAAGACACAGACGTTCTAACGAGACAGTACTTACTAGAGTATGTGGCTACTCAGGTGCTCTTCCCATTGTTTGTTAGCCACATTAAAGTGAAATAGGACAATAAAGGCTTACGGAATGAATGACATCAATCAGAAAGTACAGTTACTTACAGCCACCTAAGTATCCTCTACATGCCACCCCACATCTTTTGGAAGCACAACGTAACAAAAATGGTATATTTTTCTGAAACTTGTTTTATTGATAAAAAGGCTTTTTGGTGTCCAGTTTGAGTTTCCAAAAGTCATTCTTTGGCCAATTACTTGAACCATCTTTGTGATAATTAGTACATGTATGGTTATAGTGATTAAGTAATTTAATATGGAAGACTAAATACTACTTTGTGTAATTTTTGCTATTTTTATGACAAATTATTTCACATTCAGCGCTACTTTCTTTTAGCGATAAGCATCTAAAATGCTCTAAAACTATTATTTAAACATTATAAAACTCATGTT